TTGTGTGTGTGCGTGTGTTGCTATACATTGCAGTCGATTGCATTCGATGCTAATGCATTGCAGTCGGTTGCGCTGCATACCGGGGGTGTGCAACGGGGCGGCGGCGGCGGGTGGCGACTAGGCGGCGACGGCGACAAGCGCGGCGACCGACACCCAAGCGCAATGGAGCGATGACGGACTGCGGCGACGGGCGGCGACGGCGACAGCAAGCGCGGCGATTTACACCCAGGCCCAGAAGCAGCGGCGACGGACGGCGGCGACGGGCCGCACTGGCGACAACAAGCCTTCCGGAGCGACACCTCGGCCTAGTGTTTTTTTTTTAGACGAAGTAAGAATGTCTAATTTGGGGTATTTCTGTACATGTATTCATATACATATTCACATACTTGGGGTCCAGGGCCGGGGGTCTTGAGGACAAACTAGCTAGTCGGGGGTGGACAGAACCCCCCACCCTGACACGTCGATGAGTGAATTGTCAGTCGAGAGGGCGCCGCGGCCATCATTTTCCAGGCTTGTGCCCGCCAGGTTTGGGCCCGAGGTCGTTGTCACTAAACCACGTTTTGCTAAAGGGGGTTCTGTCCATCCCCGAGTTACAGGCCCCGATGCGGGTGGCAGGGATCCTGGGCCCTTCCAAGACGGGCCACGAGGCCTCCAGAAGCCCCCTGATGGCCCAAGAGGGATGCCAATCGCCGAAGAATCGCTCCAAGACGCCCAGGGTGGCCCCAAGACGTCCCAAGAGACCGGCCAAGGCGCCCCGAGAAGCTTCCAAGGGCACTCGCAAGAGCGCCTCAAAACGCCAGAATTGCCCCACTCCCTCTTGGAAGCGCACATGCTTAGCATACGCGACTTTTGTGCCGTCACGGCGTTGAAGATGGCCCACGGAGCCCCCAAGACCGCCTCAAGGCAGCCCACGAGGCTCCCAAGAGCGCCCTAAGACAGCCCAGAAGACGGCCCATGAGTCGCCCGCGAAAGTTCGAGAGAGCCCAATGATGGCCCCAAAAGTGGCCCAAGAGCGGGAGTCCGAACCAATGATTCGAGCTTTCCGCCCTACGATGCTCCCATGAGCCCTCAAGAGTCCCCAGGAGGCCTCATGAGACCCTTCAAACGCCCCAAGAGGCTTTAAAACATGGTGCCCAAACGGCTTCAAACTTGTCTCCAAAGTGCCCCAGAGAACCCTTACACGACACCTTGACGAACACCCAAAAGATTGCTGCTCCGAGGAGTAGCACTGTGAAGATGTTTCGAGCCAGAGCCGCATTGTTGGAGTCTTCTTTGGCCGTCTTGCGGGGCCTCTTGACAAGTACAATATGACATGGAGAGGGAAGCAGAGAGGTCAGAGGTAGGGTGAAGCAAGAGAAGCGAAAATAGGAGGGCGAGTGAGGGATTAGGGATGAGGATGCCATGATGCAGACCAGGTTTGAGGAAACAGAAAACAGAAGACGACACAAATATACAGGACATATACCGATAGCCACGAACAGGTGAGTGAGGAATGCGAGGCAGGAGAAGTGTGAGGAGTGAAGCATGTTCCAGTGCGCATTTCCCAACGCCTCAAGCTATCGAGAAACAGAGCTCGCCCGTAGCGCGCGAATGCTTTCAATGTGTGCTTGCGTGTATGTGTGTATGTATGTATGTATGTATGCATGCATGTATGTAATGTTTGTAATGTACGTAATGTATGTAATGTATGTAATGTATGTATGTAATGTGTGTAATGTATGTAGTGTATGTAATGTATGTAATGTATGTAATGTATGTATGTATGTATGTATGAATGTATGTATGTGTGTGTATGTATGTATGTATGTATGTATGTATGTATGTATGTATGTATGTATGTATGTATGTATGTATGCATATATATATATATATATACGTACCCCCTCCTAGACAGTGCTTCACGTGCCACAGGCGACCACTTACCACGGGTTGCAAACGGCAGCTACCTAGAAGTTCGTGGAACGCTTTGCGACAACTCCCCATGTGCAATGCCATGCGCTTCCCGTCCTTGCGGCGGAGCGTGGCAGCGAGGCGGGTCCAGCGCCGACCCAGGAACACGCGCGTGGACTTCCGACAGCTCCGGTGGAATTGCAGGAGGAGGAGAGCGGAGGATGTGGAGGATGTGGAGGAGGAGGAGTTTGAGAGAAAGGATGAGGAGGAGTTTGAGAGGAGGGAGGAGGAGGAGGAGGAGGAGGAGGAGGAGGAGGAGGAGGAGGAGGGGGAGGGAGAACTCCGTAGCCATTTTGGCTCTGGCCTGTCCGTTGGCCCCCTGCTCCTGGACCTTGTCCCCCGGCGTACCCTGCGACCCCAGCTTGACGGGGCAACGCGGCGGGCGTGGGGGACTTGGGGGAGAAGGGCTCTTGGCTCACGGGCAAATGGCGCGGGAGGGCGATGGTGTTGATCGCCCAGATCGGCGGACTCTTGCCGCACGGCGTGCGGCCAAGCAGTGGGCTCGCCGTGCAGCTGATAGAGCAACCAACAAACTCTCAGAGGAGCTGCCTGGGTGCGCGGCGCCCCTGGGCAGCTGGTGCACTGTGTCGGAGCCATCTTCGACAATCCGGCACTAGCGGATCGCGTCCTCGCCCTTGTTCCCCATCTCCTGTCGCCTTCGCGGAGAGGTCCCGCTGCTGGCCGATGTGCGGAGGCGCAACGTGGCCTTCCACGCAGACGCAGGCGGCGCCAGCGTGGCGGCAGCGTCAGACAAGCAGGTGAAAGGCTTCCAGAAAGGGCCTAGACTGGAGCGCAGGCGGCTGGGATGCGCGACTCCAGAACCTCCCCGCCCATTCGTGCTTAACCCCCAGGCCGAGCGGTTCGTTCCCACGGCTGGTGGCGGCGAGCAGTCCGCGGCGGCCACTGGTGTTACGGGCGTACACAAAGAGTGCGATTCGGAGGGAGAGCTTGCCAGAGATATACCTACTGTAGATGTGCAAGATGAGCCGTCATCAGAGCGGTCCGGTTCGGAGGCAGCGGATGATACATATCGTTTGGCCCTTCCTGCTTCTGAGCTTCCTGCAGATGTCTGCGAGCCGCGGGACAGCTCTGACACGATCGAGGTGGAGCTTGTCGGCGGTGGGGTAGTCACTGCCGCGCGCGTCGACGGCACGGAGGAGTCGGTCACTGGTGGGACGGGCGCCTTCCAGCCATTTTGTGCTGCAGAGTTGGAGCTTCACCACCCACCAAACCACCCCAACCCAACCCGAAGGCCCAAATTTATCCTCGATTTCCAGTGGGGGGGGGTCGGGGAACGTTGAAAAAACACATGGTATCCGTACCCCTCCCAACCCGAAATTCGGGTCAAATTGTTGTCGCTTCGCGAATCCCCACCAGCCCATCCAGAAACGATGCCCAGAGGAATTGCCTCGATCAGAGAAGTGGGCAGCACACAGAGGAAGCCATTATGAGACATCTTGGGATATCTTGAGCCATCTTGGAGGTCATTTTGGGCTCTCCCAGACGCTCTTGGAGTCATCTTAATCCGTGCCCCCCCCCAAGAGGCCTCCATGTGGCTAAAACCTGTGTAGAATCAATGATTAGGCATTCTCGCCGAGGCCTCTTGGAGCATCTTGGGTGCATCTGGGGGGGCTCTTGGGGCCTCTTGGGGGTCTCTTGGGGGCCTCCGGGGGGCCTCTTGGGGGCCTCTTGGGGCCATTTTGGGGCCATCTTGGGACCTCTTGGGGCTTCCTGGGCGCTTCTTGGGGCCATCTTGGAGGAGATCGATCAAACAAGAGGGGGGGTTTAATTAGCGTCCCCCCTCGGAAGCCCCTAAAATCGCCTCTTGGACCCCTCTTGGAACGCTCTTGGAGTGCTCTTGGGCGCTCTTGGGGCCGTCTTGGGGCTCTTTTGGGGCTCTCTTGGGGCCCTCTTGGGCCATCTTGGAACCATCTCCAGGCCTCGGATGGCCATCGGAAGCGAAAAGGCGAGAAAGCAAAAATCATTGATTTTCCTTAGGTTTTGGGACGATTTTGGCCTCTTCGGGGCCTCCTTGGGGAGCTGTTTGGCCACTTGGAGTTATCTTGGGGCCGTCTTTGGGCTTCTTGGAACCATCTTAGGAGCCATCTCGAGCGATCTTGCGCTATCTTGAGCCATCTTGGAGCTCATCTTGGGTTCTCTGAGGCGCTCTTGGAGCCGTCTTGGGCCATCTGGGACGCTCTAACTACCCGCGGCCCCCCCCGTCCAGGTCCAGGGGAGGGGGTAGGGGGAGGGGTAAACCCCTCCCCAAGGGGGAAGAGGGAGGGGTGGAAGAGGATCTGCTCTAGACCACCTACGCCCAGAGGGCTGGTGGGATTCGGGTCTTCGGGTTGGGTTGGGGTGGTCTGGTAGGTAGTCAGATGCCCGAAAACCATCACTTGGCTAATTTTGGGCCCCAGGGCCCACTGAGGCCCCAGGGGCCCCAGATTAGTGAAGTGATGTTTTTCCCCACGTAAGGGCCCCGAAATTCATCACTTCACTAAACCGAGCCCAGGACGAAAGTCGGGGGCCGAATTGCTGCTGTGATGCCACATCGGCCTCGTACAGGACCCCGTGGTACGGGACAAGCGAGGCCGACCCATGAGCACAGAGCAGGTGTGGGAGGAGTACCTCGCCTTGGACTCCCGCGGCTCTCGGCTGCCTGGCTGGCTGCGCCCGCGGTTCGAGGAGTTGGAGGAGTTCCTCGGCATCGTCCAGGACTGATCTTCCTTGTTTTTCCTACCTCATTGCAGGCTTTGCAGGCGGTGGCGGCAGTAGATGAGCCAACGGGAGCCAACAGCCAACAGGAGGGGGAGGGGGAAGGGAAGACCAGGAAGAGGACGATGAGGAGGGAGAGGCGATGACTAGGACGGACAAGGAGGAGGAGGAGGAGTTGGAGGGAGGGGGCGGGTGCGTCATGAGGGGAAGACGGAGGGAGGAAGGAAGAGGGAGATTGGAAGGAATTTGTTCCTGTTTCGCACGCCTGCCCACGAGGCAGGACGACCTCGGAGGCAGCAGCAGCAGCAGCAGCAGCAGCACCGCCCCCTCCGCAGCCCAGCCGCCGACATGATGCGCCGCGGGCCCTTCTCGCACATGGACCGGGCGCGCCTCTTCCGTCGGCTGCACCCGCCGGGCAAGCGGAAGGTCGAGGCACGACGATCGAGGCTCGAGGCGGCCTGTGCATCGCCCTCGAGGTTTTCGGATAGTTGCGTGCAGATTCCCAGTGTTTCCAGCCTGCCCCTTCAAGGCGGGGGTAGATGCCGCGAAATCTGATGGGGACTGCCTCTATCCCCACCCAGGAGGGTCGATTGGACAGCTTGGCCAAGGCGTTCCCGGTGGGAAGGTACGTCGCCCAAGTCTGGGTACCACGCATGGGGTGTTCGGACGCCTTCGTCGGCTCTCGGCGGTGTTTCCGCCCAGGGATGCTCTCCAGCAGCTGCGCCTTGCCGAGGGCGTACTGGAGGCGTCCGAGTCGTCCCGATCGGCTGCAGCAGCAGACCCAAGAGACGACCCGAAAGCCAGGCGCGTTCTCAGTGGCGCCCCCTTCCTCCCCATGTCCTCCCTCTCTGACCTCCCACGATGCACGACAAAACAACACCGTCACCGCTGGACTGAACTTCCACACGGTTTGTGTGTGTGTGTGTGTGTTTGTGTTTGTGTCTGTGTTTGTGTGTTGTGTGTGTGTGTGTCTGTGTGTCTGTGTGTGTGTCTGTGTCTGTGTCTGTGTCTGTGTGTTTGTGTCCGTGTCCGTGTCTGTGTCTTTGTCTGTGTCTTTGTTTGTGTCTCTGTCTGTGAGTGAGTGAGTGTGTGTGTGTAAGCTGTCCTGGTTGGTTTGCGCGTGGGTCTGGGGCCCTGTTTTCAGCACTCGGGACGGCAGGGGGCCCCTCCCCCCCCCCACATCGGGGGTTGCCGAGGTGGCGCCTGGCCCAAAGCGCCCCCAGCTTCTCGCGCCCCTTGGAGCCCCCCTGGGACCCTCTTGGCCACGGCCTCGCCGGGGCACCTTGTGGCAACATCTCACTCGGAGGAGGACAACTGCACAGAGGCACCTCGCTCCCGTCCCTCCGCCCTCCCGGGGGGGGAATGCAGTCGGAGGAGGGAGCGGAGGGAGGGACGTCGGCGGCGAGCCCAGAGGTGAAGCCAGAGGGGACGAGCCTTCTCTGGAGGCCCGGAAGGTCAATGGCCTTCCGAGAAGCATGCCAAGCCTTCGCCGAGGACAAAGCCGGCTTCTCGGAAGGCCGCAGGGCTTCGAGAAGCCCCGGCGCCTTCTGGCAAGGCCTGCCCCCTCTTATTGTAGTGGCCTCCGGCCAGTGCTGCCGATCCGGGACGCTCCGGATGATGATGATGATGATGATGATGATGATGATGATGATGATGATGATGATGATGATGATGATGATGATGATGATGATGATGATGATGATGATGATGATGATGATGATGATGATGATGATGATGATGATGATGATGATGGTGATGATGGTGATGGTGATGGTGATGGTGATGGTGATGGTGATGGTGATGGTGATGGTGATGGTGATGGTGATGGTGATGGTGATGGTGATGGTGATGGTGATGGTGATGGTGATGGTGATGGTGATGGTGATGGTGATGATGATGGTGATGTGATGTGATGGTGATGGTGATGGTGATGTGACGATGGTGATGGTGATGGTGATGGAGACGGAGATGGTGATGATCCTGGCACCCCCTCCCCACCTCCCCTCCTCTCTCCTGTCCCCCTCCCCCTTTCTCCTGTCCCCTCCCCCCCTCTCTCCTTTCCCCCCCCCCCCCCTCTCCCTCCTGTTTCCCCCCCCCCCTCTCTCTTGTCCACCCCCCTTCCCTTCTCCCACTCCCCTCTCTCCTTCCCCCCCCCCCTCTCTCTCCTGTCCCCCCCCTCTCTCCTTTCCCCCCTCCACTCCGCCCCCTCTCTCCTCCCCCTCCCCCCTCCTCTCTCCTGTCCCCCCCCCCCCTCTCCCCGCTCTCCCCCCCTCTCTCCTTTCCCCCCCCCCTCCCCTTTTCTCCTGTACAATTATCAATATGAATACTACTATCCCATTCCCCTGATGACGGTTTGAAAGTGGCCGACCCCCCCCGACCCCCCCCCCGCGTATTGCTTCTTTTTACACACAGGTTTCCCCAGAGTTGGGTTTTCGCCTGCAGTTTTTATCCGAAATGCTGCTCTCGCTGATGATGCTGATGATGATGATGATGCTGATGATGATGCTGATGCTGATGCTGATGCTGATGCTGGTGCTGGTGCTGATGCTGATGCTGGTGCTGGTGCTGGTGCTGGTGCTGATGCTGATGCTGATGCTGATGCTGATGCTGATGCTGATGCTGATGCTGGTGCTGGTGCTGGTGCTGATGCTGATGCTGATGCTGATGCTGATGCTGATGCTGATGATGATGGTAATGATGATGATGATGATGATGATGATGATGATGACGATGATGATGATGCTGATTATGATGATGATGATGATGATGATGGTGGTGGTGATGATGGTGGTGGTGATGATGATGATGGTGATGATGATGATGGTGGTGATGGTGATGATGATGATGACGACGACGATGACGATAATGATGATGATGCTGATGCTGATAATGATGATGATGATGGTGATGGTGGTGGTGATGATGATGATGATGATGATGGTGGTGATGGTGATGGTGATGGTGATGGAGATGGTGATGATCCCGGCCCTCCCCTCCCCTCCTCTCCTCTCTCCTGTCCCCTCCCCCTTTCTCCTGTCCCTCCCCCCCCTCTCCTTTCCCCCCCCCCTCTCTCCTGTTTCCCCTCCCCCTCTCTCTTGTCCCCCCCCTTCCCTTCTCCCCTCCCCTCTCTCCTTTCCCCCCCCCTCCCCCCCTCTTCCTTTCCCCCCCCCTCTCTTCCTGTCCCCCCCCCCGCTCTCTCCTTTCCCCCTCCCCTCCGCCCCCTCTCTCCTGTCCCCCTCCCCCTCCCTCTCTCCCTGCGCCCCAGCGCCCCAGTGGGGCCCCCGCCCCGTGCCTCTCCGCCCCGACCACTTTATTCCGCGTCGTGGCTCACACCACCTCCCCCCCCCCCTCTCTCGCGCCCCCCCAGCGCCTCAGTGGACCTCCGCCCCGTGCCCCCTCCGCTCCGAGCATTTGATTCCGCATCGCGACGCACACCAACTCCCCCCCCCCTCCCCACCTGGGATTTGGGCCTCGTTGCTTGGCCCCGAGGGCGATGTCTTGCCCCCTCTTCCCCCCTCCTCCACATCCTCTCGTCCCCCTTCCTTTTTGCGCAAGAGCTATGGCACACGCGCCACCTGTATTATTTTTTCTACTATTTTGAATATCGATTTCTTCCGTATTATCTAGATTTCTTCCAGAACCCTTTTGTAGGAGGACATGCCCGACCTAAGACTTGCCGCCGACGGGGTGTCGTGAGTGTTTCGGCGGCGAGCCTGGGGGGGAAGTGGGAAGGGGCGGGCCCTCTGAGAAGCTCTCCGGGCCTTCCCCGAAGATCACCACCCACCAAACCACCCCAACCCAACCCGAAGGTCTCGATTTGCCCTCCATTTCTAGTGGGGGGGGGTCGGGGAACATCGAGAAAACACATATGGAACCCGTACCCCCCCCCACCCGAAATTCGGGTCTTCGGGTTGGGTTGGGGTGGTCTGGTAGGTAGTCAGAAGACGCAACGAAAGACTTCTCCGCAGGCCCGCGGGCCTCCCGAGAGGCCCCGCCCGCCGCGGGGCGGCACGGCGCCTCGACGTGCCACGGCGGCTGCAGACACCCCCCGGGGCGCGCAGGACTTCAGCGGCTCCGTGGCGCCGCGCGCGGCCAACGGCGGGGCGCCCAGTCGACGCCGACGCCGGCCGAGGGCCTCGCGGCCCAGCGGGGGCCGATCATGGTCGTCTTAGAAGGAGCAAGGGCTCCCTCGAGGGCGCGAAGTTATTCGCGCTTCGCGCTTCGCGGTCCTCGTTCCTTCTCCCCCTCCTCCTCGTCCTCCTTTTCTCCCTTTGGGGGGGCGGCGCGAGAGCGCGAAGTTATTCGCGCTTCGCGGAGCGCGAAGCGCGAAGTTGGGAGCCCTAGATCATGGTCGTCTTAGAAGGAGGCTGCTCCTTGGAAGGCGCCGGCCTTGCATCTGCAGAGAAGGCCCGCGCCTTCTGAGAAGCGGCCCTCGCGGCCCAGCGGGGGCCGACCATCCGTCGACGACGACGGCGGACGACGACGACGACGACGACGACGACGACGACGACGACCGCTGACAACCACAAACGCGACGACGACCGACGACGACGACGCCGACGACGACGACCGACGCCAACGACGACGACGACGACAACGCCGACGACGGCGACGGCGACGACGACGACGACCGCACGACGACGGACGACGACTACGATGACGACCGCTGAGAGCCACGACGATGACGACGAGCGACAACGACCGACGACGACGAACATGACGACGAGGACCGACGACGACCACGACGACCACGACGACGAACAACGAACGACGACGACGACGACGACAATGACCACGACGACGCCGACGACCACGGCGACGACGACGACCATGACAACGACGACGAACACGACAACACAACCGACGCCGATGACGCCGACACCCACGCCCACGCCGACGACGACGACGAGGACGACAACGAACGACGACGAACGACGACGACGACGACCGACGCTTACGACGACGACGACAACGACGACGCTGACGACCACGACGACGACGACGACGACGACCGTCGACGACCACGAACACGCCGACGACGCCGACGCCCACCCGACGCCGACGCCGACACCGATGCCGACGGCGACGACGCCGCTGACGACCACGACGACGAACGATGACAACGACGACGGACGACGACGGCGGACGACGAACGACGACCGCTGACAAGCACGACGACCTCACCGAGTGGAACGACCGACGACGACGACGACTAACACGATGCCGACGCCGACGGCACTTCCAACGACGACGACGACCGACGACGACGACCGACGACGACGACGAACGACGACCGACGACGACGACGATCATGACGACGACGACGAGGACGACGCCGACGACCAATGGCAACGACCGACGACGACGGTGACGCCGACGACGCCGACGACGACGACGAACGACGAAGAACGACGACGACGACCGGCGACGATGACGACGACCGACGACGACGACGACGACGACCGACGACGACGGACGACAACGACTGACGACGACCACGAACACGACGACGGCGCCGACGCCGACGCCGCGGACGACGACGACGACGACGACCACGACGAACGACGACGAGTCACAACGACGACCGACAACGGCAAATGCCGACGACGACGACGTCGATCACGGGTGACGACGACGACGGACGACGACGGCCGACAACGACGACGATAAACGGCGAACGACGACGACGACGACCGACGACGACGGCCGATGACGACCACGAACACGACGACAGGCCGACGCCGTCGAGGACGCCAACGACAACGACGACGACGAACGACGACGCACGTCCTTCGACGACGAACACGACGACTGCGCCGACGCCGAAGCCGATGCCGACGACTACGACCGCCGATTAGCGACGACGACGACAAACGACGACGACGACGACAAATGACAACGACCGACGACAACGTCGACGACGAACACGACGACAGCCGATGCCGACGCTGACGCCGACGCCGACGCTGACGACGACGCCGATGACGGTCGACGACGAACGACGACGACGAAGACCGACTCCGCGACGACGACGACCACGACGACGACAACGAACGACAACGACCGACCGCGACGATGACCACGACGCCGAAGCCGACGACGATGACGACGACGACGAGCTCGACGACCGACGACGACCACGACGACGACGACCAACGACGCCCACGACGACGACAAACGACGACGACGACGAACACGACGACAACGACGACGAACGACGACGACGACGACGGTGACGACTACAACGACGCCGATGACGACGAGCGACAATGACCGACGGTGACGACGAACAGGACGACGTTTACGACGAGGACGACGACAGGGACGACGACGACGAACGACATTGACGACTACGACCGACGAAAACGACAACGACGAATGCCACGACGAGGACGACGACGACAACGACGATGTCGACGAATGAGAATGGCCGACGACGACGACGGCCACGACGACGACTCCGACGACGACAACGGCGACGGCAAGGGCGACGACGAACCCGAACGAGGACGACCGACAACGACGACGACGACGACGAACGACCACGACTGACGACGACGACGAAGACGACCGACGACGACGACAACGAACGACAACGACGACGACGATGAACATAACGACGACGCCGACTTCGACGTCGACGATCACGACCGACGACGACGATCACGACGACGACGACGATGAACGACGACGACGACGACGGCGAGACGTTGACGACGACGACGTCGACGACGACGGCGCCCGACGACGACGACGTCCGACGACGGTGACGATGAACACGACGACGACGACGTTGCCGCCGACGACCACGACGACGAACGACGACGAACGTCGACGACAACGTCCGACGACGACGATGACGACGACGACCGACGACGAAGACGACGACGACGAAGACGAACGCCATCGACTGATGACGACGATGCAGACGCCGATGCCCAAGACGACGCACAATGGCGATGAACGACTACGACGACGAAGAACACGACGACGACGCCGACGCCGACGCCCACGACGACGACAACGACGACGTCAAACGACGACGAACGCCGACAATGGACGACCGACGACTATCAGCGACGACCATGATGGTCGACGACGATCGACAGCGACCGACGATGAGCTTGACCATGACAACGACGACCGCGCCGATGTTGACGACGACGAGGGCCACGACGACCATGACGACGGCGCTGATGTCGACGACGATGACGTCGACGACGACGACGACGACCGACGACGACCACGACGACGACGACCGACAACGATCGACGACGCCGATGACGAATACGCGGCGATGACGAATACGCTGACGACGACGACGCTGATGCCGACGGTGGCGACGACGACGACGACACGCCCACGAACATCGACGAACGTCGACGACCGACGACGACTGCGACGACCGACGACCGACGACGACGACGAATTTGTCGACGAACGACAGTGACCAACCATGACGACGAACACGCCGATGCCGATGCCGACCCCGACCCCGACGACGACGACGACGACGACGACGACGATTGACGGCGAATGGCGACGACGACGATGACGAGGCCGACGACGACGAGGACGATGACGACGACGACAACGAACGACAACGACCGACGACGAGGATCGACATGACGACGCCGACCACGACGACGACGACGACGGCGACGACGGCGACGACGACGACTACGACAACGACGAACGACGACGAACGGCGACGACAGGGACGACGACGAACGACGACGATGCCGACGATCGACGACGACGACATCGACGACGACTGACTACCGACGTCCACGACGACGACGGCGACGACGACGACGACGACGACGACCGACGACCGACGACGACGACCACGCTGACGACTAAGGACGACGATGACCACGACGACGAACGATGAAGAACGACGACGACGACCGACGACGACGGTGACGACGACAAACGTCGACCGACGACTGTTAACGACCGACGACGACGACAAATTCGACGACAACGCTGACTCTGACGCCGACGACGCCGACGACGATGACGAACGTCGAAGAACGGTGACGACGTCGACCATCGACGAGGACGGCGATGGACGACGACGAAGACGAACGACGAAGACTACGACGACGACGACGAACGACCATGACGACGACCAGCGACGATGACCGGCGACGACGACCGGCGGTGTCGAAGGACAAACACCGACGACGACGAACACGATCCCTACGCCGAGGACGCCGACGACGAGGAGGACGACGACGACAACGGCGAACGACGACGACGACGACCAACGACGACGACGACGACGACCAACGCCGACGTCGACGAACGACGACGACGACGACCAACGACGACGAACGATGACGACGATGGCGCCGACGACGACAAACAGCGACGCCCAAAACCACGACGACGAACGACAACGACCGACGCCGACGAACACGACGAGGGTCCCGACGCCCATGCCGGCGCCGACGACGACGACGAACGACGACGAATGACGACGAAAATCGACAATGATGACGACGACCTACGACGATGACGACGACGACGACGACCGACGACGACCACTACGTCGACGACAGACGAGTTCGACCGACGACGGGGGCGAACACGACGACGAGACCGACGACGACGACGACGAGCGAAAACGAACGTTGACCACCACGACGATGACGAACGACGACGACGCTGACGACGACGATGACGACGACGAAGACGAACAACAGCGACGACGACAACGACGGCGAACGATGACGACGCCGATCACGACGAATGACGACGACGACGACCGACGACGACCGACCGACAGACGACGACGATGACGACGACCGACGACCTACGGCGACGACGACGATCACGACGACCGACGAAGACCACGACGACGACGATTGACAACGACCGACGACAACAACGGACACGACGACGACGCCGACGCGGACGCGGACGCCGACGACGACGACGACCACGCCGTCCGACGACGAACGACGACCACGACGACCATGACGATGACGACGACGAAGACGACGTCGAACATCAACGACGATCGACGACCGCTTCCGACCACGACGAAGACGAACGACAACGACCCGACCGACGCCGATGAGGACGACGACGCCGACGACGACGACGACGAACGACGACGAACGACGATCGACAACGACTACGTCCGACGGCGACGCCGATTTTCGACGACCGACAACGACCACGACGACGAGTCACGACAACGACCGACAACGGAGACGAACACGACTACGACGCCGACGCTGGCGACGACGTCGACGACGACGTACGACGACGAACGATGACGACCGACGACGACGACGACGAACGACGACGCACGACGTCAAACGACGACGAACGACGACGACGACGACCAACGTCGAAGAGCGACGACGACGACGACCATCGTCGACGACAACTGCCCACGACGACGACGACGAACGATGGCAAACTGCCGCGAACGACGACGACGACGATCGACGGCCGTCGACGACGACGACGAACGTCGAAGAGCGACGACGACGACGACCATCGACGACGACAACGGCCCACGACGACGACGAACGACGGCAAACTGCCTCGGACGACGACGACGACGACGACGACGAACGACGGCCGACGACGACGACGACAACGACAACCACGACGACGAGAGACTGTCCACGACGACGGACGTCCACGACGAAGAAATTTAACGACGACCACGACGACGACGACCGAACACGACCGGACCACGACGACGACTGCGAACGACGGCGACGACGAATGACGACGATGGCGATGCCGACGAGAGACAACGACGACGATCACCGACGACGACCGCCGACGACGACGACGAACGACCAACCACAACGATGATAAGCAACGGCTACCGACTACGACGACGACGGACATGTCAACGACGACGGCGACGACACCGACGACGGCCACAACGATGACACTACTGACGACACCGACGACGACGACGAACGACCGCGACGGTGACGACGACCGACGACAACCACGGCGACGTCGAAAGACAACGACCGACGACGAAGAACACTACGACGACGCCGTCGCCGACAACGACGACGGTGCCGAGGATGACGCTGACCAGCCACGACGAAAGATGGCCGACGACGACGACGAGAAAGAACGACGACGATAACGACGACGACGACGACGACGACGACGACGACGGCGACGAACGACGACCACACCGACGACGCCCGATGACGACCACGACGACGACCAAGGCTGACGACAAACAAAGACGACTGACGACGTCGACGACGACGACGACGAACGACAACGAATGAGGACGACGACGATGACGACACCGACGACGTCGACGACGACAAACGACGAGGACGGCGCACGAAGACGGCAACGATGACGACGAACGCGTCGCACGAACGGCGACGGCGGCGCACGACGACAAATGACGGCGATCGGCAACGAACGACGACGGCGACGATTCACGGCGACGACGAGGACGACGAATGACGAACGATGACGACGACGACGACGACGAAAGCCGACAAACGATGACGACCCGCCCTGGCCAGGCCCCTCCCGGGACCAGGGTGGGCGCACCGCGCCCTCCTGGCCGGGCGAGGAGGGCGCACGGGCCCGCAGGTCGGGCATGTCTTCTGGCAGGCGGAGTTTGGAGGAGAGAGTGATAAGCATGAAGACGGAACCCCCAAAAAGCATTCCAAAAGGAGCACGACAAGTCTTGTTTATACGGCTTTCTTACGACGATAACGAGCACGACGACGACGGCCACGACGACGAACGACGACGACGACGACGACGACGACGACGAACGAAGACGACACCGACGACGACAACGACGAACAGTGCCGACGACACACGACGACGACGACGACGGCGACGACACACGACGACGACTACGACGCCGAACGTCGACGACGGCGACGAACGACGGCGACGACGAAACACGGCGACGACGACGACGACGACGACCGACACCGGCGACGACGACGACTGACGACGGCGACGACGACGACGACGAACGACGACGAAGCCGACGACGATGACCGACGACGACGCACGACGACGACGAACGACAACGAACGATGGGCGACGAACGATGGGCGACGACCACCGACGACAACATCGAACACGCCGACGACGCCGACGCCAACGCGGACGACGGCACCGATGATGACGTCAGCGACGACGACGACGACGACGCCGACGAACGTCGACGACAACGAACGACGACGACGAAGACTCCGACGACGACGACGAAAGACGATGACAACGACGACGAGGACGACGAAAATCAACGACCACGACAACGAACGACGACGACGACGACGACAACGAATGACGACAAACTCGACGGCGTCGACGACGACTGCGACGGATGACGGTGACGTCGAACGACGAACCACGGCGTTCGACGACGAACGGTGAACGTTGACGACGACGACGAACGACGAACGACGAACGACAACGACGAACGACGACGACGACGACGACGAACGACGAATGACGACACCGACGACGACAGTGACGACGAACTACGAACGACAACGACGACGACGAACGACGACGGCTGACGAAAGCAACCACGACGACGTCGAGGAACGATGACGACGACGATGACGAGCGACGAACGATCGGCGACGAGCGACGACGACGACGAATAACAGAACGACGGACGACCACGACAACGACGACCACGACGACGAACGACGACGACGACAAGATGAACGACGACGACGGCGACGGTCGACGAAGACGACGAACGTAGACGACGAACGACGATCTTGACAACGGCGACGACGATGACGGCGACGATTGCAAACGACGAACGACGACGACGACGACGATTGGCGACGACGACGAACGTCGACGACGGACGACGGCGACGACGCCGAACGTCGACGACGGACGACGGCGACGGCGACGACGTTGATGAAGCTCCGATTTTGACGATTGCCGCGTGCCCTAGCTCCTGCATCATGACAACTTCCGTTGCTCGAAACGCATCAGTCAAGAAAATGAAGGAGAATTGCCTGCCGCCTCAGCGGGCGACCTGCTGCTGCTGCTGCTGCTGTTGCTGTGGTCCGCGTGCTGGCGGCTGTTGCTGCCGTTGCTGCTGCGGCTGTTGTTGCGACTGCACTGGGGCGTGGGTAGGCGCGTGGCTTGTCTGAGCAGCCTCCGCCTCCTCCCCGACCTCCTTTTTTCTGCCTCGTGGCTCCTCTGTCCTCGTCCTCCTTTTCCTCCTCGCGGGGCTGTCCTTTGTCTTGGGGGCTCAACCTCCGCCTCCCCCTTTTCTCCTTCCTGGGGTCTGCTGCGGGTTGCTCCGCCTGAAGGGCCCCTCCGCCTTCTGGGCCCTGCTGCGCCCTGCCTTCAGTCAGAAGCCAGGCGAAGGCTGGCAAACCCGTGGCTGCTAAAACGGAGCTCCTGGAAATTGTTTTTTTTCCTTTCGGGGAAAGGCCCGTTTATTGTTTAGCGTGCAGAGTTTTAGTCCAGGAGTTCGTTTCTTCTCTTCCGGGAAGACCGTTGTAATTAGCTTTTAGCAGCCACGGATTTGCCAGCCCTCGCCCAGCTTCCGATTCTGGATCCTCCGTCTTCTGCCGCCTTCGCAGCTGCTGTGGTTGCTGCTGTGGTGAGGCACGTGGCCGCTTGGCGGGCGCCCCCGCGCGGTCCTCCGCATCCTCTTCGCGGGGGGCACGGCTCCGGCAGGTCCCTGCCGACGGGCACCGTCGTGTCACACTTTGGCGTCGCCTAGGCCGCCTTCAGGCTTCGGCAACACGCAGAGGGGGCTCAGGGGAGGGGGAAGGCTTCTTAGAAGCACTCTTGCTTCTTAGAAGACGCGGGCCGTCTCGATGGATGTGAGGCCGGCGCCTTCTGAGAAGCAGCCTCCCTCTGAAAAGCCTTCCTCTCTCCACCATACCCCCTTGTGCGCGCCGCCAAAGGCTTCTCCTCATTGGTGTCTGTGCCCTCAGCGCCTTTTGCTTTACTGCCGTTGAAGGCGACGACGACGACCACCACGATGGACGATCGACGACGACGACGACGACGACGACGACCACGACGGCGACCACGACGGACGACGACGACGACGACGACGACGACGACCACGATGGCACCATCGACGTCGACGACGTCGACGACGGCGACGCCCTCGACGGCGCCTCCCCGCCGAGGCCCAGCGAGCGTCGAGGACCGCCGCCGCCAGCGGGCCGCCGCGTCTGGGTGGGGCCGCGCCCAGCGTCCACGCCGCCTTCGGAAACGCCACCTTCGAGGCACGGCTACACCTTAGGCGATGCTTAAGAAAACCTAAATTTTCGGCCAGAGTCTCGATTATTCTTCATGTTTCGATGTAAATCCTAAGATTTGAATCGAAATGTTGGGTTTTTATTCAAGTTCTGAGACTGTGAATTTCTTAACCCATGATTTCTTAAGCATTTCGCAGGGTGTATAGCGCGTGGGGCGGCCTCGAGCGCACACAGATTCGAGAGTGCAAGTGATATCGCAGAGCCCCGTGTCATGAGGGCACGGAGTGATCAAGGGTAACTCCTGATTCGGGCCTCCCGTTTTCGTGCCGGAGTTGTCGCGGACTTCGCACCCTTGCCCCATGTAGGTGCTGTCCAGTGTTCTCCTCAAGCAGGAGTTATTCTAGATCCAGCGGTTCCAATGTTTTCCCAGATCACGTACGGGAGCGCCAAACAGTGCCCTACCCATACCAGGTCTTCCCTGGACAATCCGGGTGCCCAAACAACAGACAGGAGCCCCGGCGGGAGCGAGCGGGAGGAGCTAGATGGGTTCACGAGGCAGCAGCAGTCACAGAGCCCACCGTCCCCAACACTACTTGGGAAGCTGGATAGCCCTGGCCCTGGCAGTGGCGGAGGTGATTTTGCCTTGCCGCCCGCCAGGACCAGTGGGCGTGGTTCATGGGGCAGGCACCTTGGACACCCTCGCCCCGCCTTCTCTCTCTGGTCCGTCAAAATTGGACCAGTGAGAAAAACTAGAGAGCCCCATCTTCAGGGGCAACATTGGAGGGCGATGGGGGCCAGGGGGGATGCATCGACCCCGGGAGCCTGGGGGCGATGGGGGCCAGGGGCCATGGGGGCCAGGCGCCTGATGGCCCTCCCACCCCAGGATGCATTGACCCCGGGAGCCCCTTCCACCCGACAAGGGCCTCGCAGCCCTCCCATCTGCCCGAGAGGGGTGCATCGACCCCGCCCAGGAGCGGGCGGAGTAGCTGACGGGGGCCTACCGAAGACCTGTCGGCGATGTGTCGTCGACTCCATCTCTGCGTTTCCCACCTGAGTCCGTCCCCCCCGATCGTGTTCACTTTCACGCCTGGGCAGCCTAGACTTAAGTCGGGCCTGTCCCTCCACGGGAGGAATATTCAAGAATGGTCGACAAGTCGTATGGGGACGATTTGTTGAGCATGTTTAGACTATGTTTGAAGATGTTGGGTGTATTGTCAAGGGCTCCCTCGAGGGCGCGAAGTTATTCGCGCTTCGCGCTTCGCGGTCCTCGTTCCTTCTCCCCCCTCCTCCTCGTCCTCCTATTCTCCCTTTGGGAGGGCGGCGCGAGAGCGCGAAGTTATTCGCGCTTCGCGCAGCGCGCAGCGCGAAGTTGGGAGCCCTTGATTGTTTTATTTTTCGTCCAAAATCCGCTGGTAAATCCTGGACCTCGCTTCTTCCTCGGCCGGCCCCTCCGCTCGTGGCCTTGCCCCCGGCCCACGTCTCGCTTCGCCTGCGGGGCCCTTCGCCGGTCCCCTTTGCACCATGCTTGCGGCTGCAGCGGTCGGGGAGCCAGCGCTAGACCTGAGCCCGCGTTCGCTGCCCATCTCGCATATCGTGCCGGGGAGTCCGGGGGCCACGCCACCCTCAGTCGCAAACAGCACAACAAGACGTGATGAGGGTCAGGTCCGCTTCCCCTCAAGGGGGCAATCACCGCTGGCGTGTGCGTTGTCTCCCTCTCGCCTCTTCCTCCCCCTTCTCCAAAATAGCGCTGGAAAAAAAAAAAAAAACCTGAGCCCGCGTTCGAGTGACAGTCTCGGCATCATCTCTCTCCTTCTCTCGGAGGTGGGTAGACCTCCCACCCTGACACGTCGATCGAGGAATTGGCCGTTCTCGCTTCGCGAGAGGGCGTCGCGGCCGTCATTTTTGCGGGTCCAGGTCCGTCGGTTTCGGTCCCAGGCCGTTTTCACTAAGGGGAGGTTTACTAAAGGGAGGTTTGTCCACCGCCGATTCTCTCGAGGGAGAGACAAGCGCATAAACAAGGGCTCCCTCGAGGTCGCGAAGTTATTCGCGCTTCGCGCTTCGCGGTCCTCGTTCCTTCTCCCCCCTCCTCCTCGTCCTCCTCTTCTCCCTTTGGGGGGGCGGCGCGAGGGCGCGAAGTTATTCGCGCTTCGCGCTTCGCGCAGCGCGAAGCGCGAAGTTGGGAGCCCGTGCTAAGGGGAGGTTTACTAAAGGGAGGTTTGTCCACCGCCGATTCTCTCGAAGGAGAGACAGGCGCATAGACATACACCGTCGGAGTGCCGCGCGGCTCTCTCAGATCGGCGCTGCGCAGCCCTGGCGGTCCCTCCGGCGCCGTCCACTGGCGCGCTCCGCGCGCCGGGAAGGGGGGCCCAGTGCAGACCCAAGAAATCAGCAAGTGAAGAACTATGATCAGGAGGGGAAAAAACACACAGACACAATTAATCTGCGATTCCCAGAAAATATGGGAAAATATGGGAAATGGGGGGGAAGACAAAAACCCAGAAAAGGAAGCCCTCACTACCTACCAAACCACCCCCAACCCAACCCGAAGGCCCAAATTTGCCCTCCATTTCCAGTGGGGGGGGGTCGGGGAACGTTGAGAAAACACATATGAAGCCCGTACCCCCCCCCAACCCGGAAGTCGGGTCTTCGGGTTGGGTTGGGGTGGTCTGGTAGGTAGTCAGGCCCGGTGCAGACCCAAGAAATCAGCAAGTGAAGAACTATGACGCAATGGATCGGCCGCCGCGAACGAAGGGGTCCTGACAGGGACGGGCTTCGAGTGTTTGTCACCGCTTTCGGGCTCCCCAGGCCCTCCCAGGGCCTCGGCACAGTCAAGACGCGGCTCGGGATGACGGCCTCGTATCGGGGTAATCTCCAGGATTCCAGGAACTGTTTTCCTCTGGACACAATTCTCGCATGGTAAGCATACATGCAATTGGAACGACTTGATGCTATCGCACGCTCGCGTGAGTGCGCGAGCGTCTGCGTGATTGAACACCTGAGCTCGAAATTGTCTTATACATTTTCCATTGCGACGGCCTTACGGTTGGTGCCGCCATCCCTGAAAAAGACAACGACGACGATGGCGATGATGAAAAACATGCGGACACTTGAGACAACGTATGGATTGTTCTCCTCTTGGGAGTGTTTTTGAGTCTGTCTTGGGCTTCTTGGGGGCTTCTTGGGCGCCCCTCTGGGCCTCTTGGTTGTGGCCTCTTGGGGTTGAAGGCTCCAAATGCCAGTTCGGCTTCCTTGACTATGCGAGCGCAAACCTTTCTTTTAAACGTTTCATTCCCAGGAGAGAAAGTAGACATTGACACAAATAAACGTCGGCCTTCAGGAAAGTTACTTCGAAAGTATTGCAAACCTGAGGGGAAGACGAACATCCAGAACGTATGAAAACATATTGGATCTTGGAAGCTGTGTCTATTTGCTTGTGCCTCCCTGGGCCTCTTTATATTTGAGAACCGGTCGCGATGCCAGCTGGCCGTCCGTCCGCGGCGCTGCGCGGCGCAGCCCCGATGCCGCGCAGGACTGCGCTCAGCTGCGGCGGCGGATTCGGTGCTTTCTGCAGGAGGGCTTGGCCACGATGGAGGACAACGTGTTCTGTTTCGTTACACACAAGGCCAAGGGGATTTGGAGACAGTACGGGTTCCAGCCAGCAGGAACGAGTGGTAGGTTCGAGGTTCTGGGGTCGGAGAGGTTTATTGCCTTTGTCAGCCTCTGGGGGCCGCTTCTGGGCCCCAGGACCTTCATTAACGAATCGAGGGCGAAAACTTACACTAGATTGATCCCTGGGAGGGGTTTGGGGACCGATTTTGAGCGGATTTGGCTTCATCCCCCTTCCTGGCCGATTTTCTACGGTTCCAACCAGTTCAGAGCCCCCAGTCGCTTCCAAAAGGGGATGAAGAGATGCAGAAACAACATTCACACAGTGTGCGTTTGTTTCGCAATTCCTTCTCCAGTCCTGCACTACGCAGAGTGTGTGTGTGTGTGTTGTCCGCATCTCCTTGTCCAGTTCACGGTGCAAGGCAGGAGAGAAACGAATGATCGATAACACCACGCAGGGCGTAGCATGATTGTTATCTATTCCATATCCCCTCGTCTCCCTTGCATGCTTCATCGATCGTGTTCTGTTCTGTTTCGTTGCACACAGTGCCAGGCAGCACGGGCGTGCATGGCGAGGGGGCCAGAAAGAAGTTCAGAAAGAGCAGGGCAGAGGAGCTTGAAAGGGGGGGATGAGGGAAGAGGTGGAGGGGGGAAGGGAGGGGTCAGGAGTATGGAGGGACGGAGGGAGGGGGGAGAGGAAGGCGGAAAGTCGCAAGGCATCAGATGAAAGGAGAGGGTGACGAATGATCGGGGAATGAGGCAGAAGGAGAAGCATCATCAAGGGGAGAGAGAAGCAGGCAGAAAGAGCAATGAGGAGGTAGGAGACGAAGGAGGGCAAGAGGAGAAGGAGGAGGAGGAGGTCCATGGATGAGGGAGGAGGGACGAGGAGTGCCGCGATGGGGAAGGGGAGCGAGGGTGAGGGCAGCGGGAGGAGGGGGTAAGCGGAGAGGTTTCGGTGGTGATGGGGGCAGGATACCAGAGGGGAGCATGAAGCGGAGAGTGGTGGACGGTCTGGTGGAGCAGAAGTGGGGAGAGGAGGTGAGACGAGGCGAGATGTCAGGGGAGGCTGTGCGTGCGAAGTTGGCACGGCGACGGGACAGCGCGCCCAGGGGGCGTACACCCTCGTCGCTTCTGGCAGTTTGCTGCCCATGCTCGGCGTGTGTCGCCGCTGGTGTGCGCACGCTTCTGCCGCCAGCCTCGCCCTCGCCCCCCCTTCCTCCCCGCTCCGCTCTCCTCCTCGCCGCCCCCTTCGTCTTGGCTCTGGGACGCGTCGTCCACCGCCACTGGTCGCTGTCGCCGTCGCCCGAGCCGGTGGCCCTCACGAGGGGGGTGGCGGCGGCAGTGGCAGTGCCGAAGCACGCCCAGGGCCCGGCAAGGCATGATGGTGCGAACCCGGCTTGTCTGGTTGATGCTCTGGGGTGGGCATGTGTTCAGGGGAGGCTGCACCGCTCAACGATGTGCTGAGCGGCAGAACCTGCAGGGTGGTAGGTCCTTTCCCAAATTCGTGCATCGTTGCGGATCGTCTGCGTGTTATGGTTGGGTTTTCTTCCCCCTGCGCAGTGACCACCACCACCTAAGATACTATCCGACCGATCCGACTCGATTTCGGTTTTGGCCGGCCCGATCCGACTCGATTCCGATTTTCCAACGATCCGATGCGGCCCGACGCGTGTATGGCGTTGTGGTGCATTTTGGCGCAGCCGACGCGATTCGATCCCGACTCCGTGCCGATGCAGCCAGATCCGACGCACATTCCGATTCAATCCGATTTCCCAATTCGATGTTGACTGATCTTCAAACGGGGCTAGAACGAGGATGAATCCGTTCCAGAGCGTTCCGGAACGCTCTCAGAGCGTTTTGGAACGCTCTCGGGAGGCCGTGGTGCCCGGGACATTTTGCAGAGCCGCCGGATCTCAGAGATTCTCTTTCTCCCCCAAGTTTGCCTTCGTCCTGGCTTCGTCTTACTTATTCTGGCTCCTTCTCTTTGGCGGTGCCCTCTCGAGGGCCCGACCTCCACCGTCCGCCGCGTTCTCCGCCGCCGCTGCTCCGTAGCCATTTTGGCTCAAGGCCATCGGTGGTTTCCTCCACGCGCGAGGTGGCGACCGACGCGACACGCAGGCCTCACAGGTGGCTGCCCTGCCAGAGGTCTCTGCATTCACACCCAGCGTACTGTAGACTTCGCTTGCAGCCATTACGTTTTCCCCGCAGTCTCAGCCATGGCGGGAAGAAGTTCGCAGTCCCTGTTCTTGCCGTGCCCTTCCTGTGGCTGCCAGAAGGACAAGCCTTGGTTCCAGTGGTGCGAGGCGTGCCACAGCATGTTACCCCAGCGTCATGCAAAAGGTCGTTTTCGTTATGGTGACTCCTGACGACGCTGGTGGTAACAGGCGCTGCCGTGGTGAAGGTGGCACAAGTGCAGGCAAGGGGTACGACCAGTCGGTCCCGTCCCCCTGTGCAGGGCACCGCGCATGACCACGTGGAGGCCATCCCAAAGCACTTCCGTTGAGCGGAGGGCCTTCCAGGTGCTGATGCAAGTCTTTTAGCCTTGCCGGCTTAGCTGTCAACGGTCAAGCAGGCGACCCTCGACAAACAGGGTGCGGGCGTTCAGGCGACAGTCGTTCAGAAGCAATTAGTTCCCAAAGAAAAGGAACTCGCGCAGATCACTGAGAAAACCGAGCACCACAAGAAGCGTGGTGAGGAACTCTTTGTCAAGTCGGCGCGTTCTAATTCAGAGATCGACCAGCTTCGTATTCGGCATCGTGATATTTCTGCCAAGGTCGTGCCCCCCTCGGAGCAGTCTCAAACCGACCTCGACATCGCCAAATTCAAAGACGCATTCGCGGCGATGGACACAGTCCTCAAGGAAGCGGCTTCCGCCGTCGAGAAGCAGAGCCTCCCCGAGCTTAAGGGCAAGATGGAGGTCACGAGTTGAGTGCTCAAGAAAAGTCAAGGTGCTGTGCGAGATCCGAAGGAGGCGGCCCAATCCTGTGCGTCGGGCGCGGGCTCGAGTGCTGGCAACTCGCTCCGTCAAATCCGACGGTGGTACCTTCGACTTGCTTGGCGGCGCCTCCGCGCTTGCTGAGGAGAAGAAGAGCAAGCTCGAGATGTTTGGGGCCGTGTCCGTCTGGTCCCGTATCTAGCAGCACTACGCGTATAGGGAGGGGGCCAGTCATCCCACAGAGCCGCTGGAGGCATATGAGCAAGCCGTTCCAGCGGACGTTTCAGTTTCACTTATTGAGGACATCGGCCCACGATGTTCCATCTTAACAAACCAGCGTAGTCGCCCCCTTCTTCGAACAGGCCCTTGGTAGTGAGTTCGGTTTGACTCGCGAGACATTAAGCGGTCCGGGGCGGGAGGGCGTCGCGCAAGCGGTTGACCTGGACGAGAGCTCACATCGCTTGCACTCAGGAGCACGAGCTTCGCAATTTTGAGGAAATCGATGAGGCCAGCGCCCGGTTTTTTCCCGCCACGGTTGGGAAATTATCTGAGGGCCTGCTTGCTCGGGGAAGAGGGCGGTGCTTCGGCGGGTGCCGCCGCGGCGGTTCAAGCAGCTTTCGGATTCCATCCTTTCCTGATGAACATCTCGCGGGCTTTCCCCCCATTGGCGCGCAGTTGGCCAGGCGCAGAGGCCGGGCCACCCGCCGCGCGGCGTTGCAAGTGCCTGCTCGCACGAGTGTCGGCAGACGAGTGATTTGAACGTTTCCCATCCGCGCCGACTCGGCCGCTTTCACGAATCACTCGGGCACGTCGTTCGTCCTGGGCAAGGATCTCAACGCGGTCCCAGAGGTCCTTCATGAGCATGGGGTCCCGGAGCTTCTCCGATGCAGCCTGGTTTCCGCTCGGGGGGCAGGGGGCCGCGCAGCGGCCCGAAAGGCACATGGCATTATGGCGACTTCACGCGCTTTACAGATTTCGGCCTCGCCGAGGAGGCCGCTGCCGACCCGCGCCCGGCCGTCTGCTTGGAATTCCGCGGATCTTCGAGCGGCCGCCGCGCCCGGAGGTTCCGCGGGCCCCCGAAGACCCCCGCGGGCCCAGCCCAGTCGTCGAGGCCGCCGTGCTGGAACCGTGCCCTCGAGCTTCTGGATCGCGCCCGGGGGCGGGCGGACTCCGGGCGCCTGGGGGCCGCTGCGTTGAGGGCAAGATTCGGCGCGGGCCACTCTCGGCGAGGTCGAGCTCTGCAGCTCGACCCAATATCCCATCCCAGTCTTTGGTGCGAGAGGCGAGCGGCTCAGGCGCGAGCGGCGCGACCCGCTCGCCATCGACTCCAGGCCCCCCCCCGCCGCCACCCCTGGCCAAGCAGGCCGTCGGTTTCTTCGTCGCGCTGACGAGGGCGCTGACCGGGCAACTCGGCGCGGGGGGGGCCCGGCGAGCGCCGGGCAGTCCAATCTCGGGTCGGGCGAAAGGGGGGATTGGGAAGGGGGGGTTACGAAATTTGCTGCACGCAGCTGGTTTCGGCTTCACCGAGGGGCCCATTCCTCGATGCATAGCCGCCTCTGGCGCCGGGGGGCGCCGGGAAAATCAGCCACGCGAGCTGATTCTCACCCCCCCCTACGCTATCCCCCCCTTTCGCCCGACCCGACAGTCTCTTTTGGGGCAGCGTCGGCTGCGCGCCCAGGACATCCTAGATCATTTGTGGCATTGGTCTTATGTTCGCGAACGAACTGTTTCGCACTTTTCGCGTCCGGATTCAATGGCGCTGAATGACTGAAGGCAGCACCGGGTCCGACTCGTGGAGGATTTCGAGAAGTCTTCGTCGGAGGTTGTCGCGCGCGCGCGCGCGAGGAGTTCAGGGCTTCTTGGAGGCAGCGGGCCCTAGTGGGCATCGAGAGAGGGGGGGGGGGGGGGGATGGTCCACGCGCACACTGGGGCCCCCCGGGCCTGGCGGCCGACCGCCGCCTTGAGCTCCGCAGGGGCCCTGGTCTCGGACCCGCATAGGCCCTTGAATTCCGAAGCCAATGAAGTTTGCGGAGCCGTGGAGCACGACGCACCAAGGCGCTAGGCCTCCTGATCGTTTTGCCCGCCAGGCTATCTCGGAGTCCCTGCTTTACCTTGGCCCGCCGGCGCTGCGCGAGCTCAGCCGCGGCCACCCCCGCGCTGCGGCCGCGAGCGCGGACGGCTTCCACGCGCGCCACTTCGCCCAGCCGAGCGACGGCGTCCTCCTGACCACGGGGAAATGCCCAGCCTTGGGGCGTGGTTTCAGCTTCCCCGGCGCAGCTGAGGCTGGTTATCCTAGCCACGCTTTCCTAAGCTTTTGGTGGTGCCAGGCCCGTCGGGTTCACCGTCGCCCAGCTGGGGAGCAGGGGGCGGCCTGGCAGCGGCCTCTCCGTCAGACGTCTTTCGGGGCCAAATTTCGAAGGTCCGAGGAATCTGTTTCCCATGCAGATGGTTCGGCCGGCGTTGTCTTGGACGCGTAGTTGTTTAAAACGCTGTTCGACTTGGAGTTGCTTCTAGAAAGACGCGGGCGCGTTGGTCTCTCGCCCCAAGTGGCCCGCTCGCGCGCGTTCGCTAGCTGGAGAGCGAGATTTGTCATGGTGAATGGTCGTGCGAGTGGACCTTGGTAGGCTGTGATGGGGTCGTCGCAGGGCGTTATATTGTCTCCGCGTTCGTCGGGATTTACCTCGCGTAGGATCTGGATTGGTTGAGCACCCCAAGGCCCATCGCATTTGATGCATGCATGGACGACGGCGATCTGAATTGGACTGACATTGCTGATGTGGTCGCGCGAGGCTTGGCTGAAGCTCGAAAGGCCTTGCACGGCGCGGTCGCGCTCGACTGCACGTGCTCTCTGTGGACCGCTTGCAACCCTGGGGTTCCAGTGGGCAGGGCGCGCCTCATCTCCTCGCCCCCTCGCGTCGCTCGTCAACATTGTGATCTCTTGGCGGCCTCGCGGGGCCCATCGCCAAGGTAGTGGCGAACCTGGGCGTCGATGGCGCTCGGGGCCGTCTTCGTCGGTCCCGGGGCAGGTGCTCCACGCGCCAGATGCGAGCTTCGATTGTCAATCGCCGCGTGCGTAGGCTGGTCAAGGTCATGCCCGATGCAAGCAGACTTGCACAGCTGGGCCCTTGCCCGGCTTGTTGCGCGCCCCTGGAGTCCACGGCTGTAGCGGCGCGGAAATTCAGAGCATACGTCGTGCCATCGGTCGCGCGTTACAGCCGTCGGCGAGAGGTAGGTCCTTGACTCTCCACGCGACCGCTGAACATAATTCCAGCATGGAATTTAGCCGTTGCCACCATCTTGCGCTGGGGCATCGGGTTCGGATCACCGCCAGCGAGGCCGCCCTGCTCTCCCTTTCGTTTCCCAGGCTGCGCGCCGATTGGAGCGCCACCTTCTCCGCGACGATTTGCCACGGCGCATTTGCGGCGGGCCCGCGGGGGGCGATTAGCTTCCGTCGTGCAAAATTGGCGGGCGCAGGGCCGCCTCGCGTTCATCGGCGATCTTCGGCTGGAGGCTTCCTCGCCCATTACCTGGCCGGGCCTCTCGAAGAAGTTTTGGTGCGAGGGCGTTGTGAGATCCTAGGGGCGGTCGGCTGGCAATTCCGTAGGCTCCTCGGACAGGCTGCGTTTCGGCGCCATGGCCGCGGCCACTCGTTTCCCTAGATACAACGGGGCCCAGCGGGGCTCCATCCAGGCAGCGTGTTGCGGGGCTACTTGTACCCGTGACAAGGCCGTTAGTCTCGGTCATCCGCGCTGCCCCAAGTGTGTTTTATGCGGTGAGCCCGACTCGCTGCACCACAGGCTGCGGGCTTATAGCTCATGTTCGGCTCTCGGGGGGTTATTGGTCGAAGGGCCCCAGCGTAGACCTTTGTTCGAGGCTTAATTAGGCACCCAGGCGACGCGCCCCCAGCCCTGCTCGCCGATGCTGGCGTAGTAGGGCACGACGACCTAGACAGATTGGGTGGCGGCTTTGTCGGGCGTGCCTTCATGGGCGGCTCGTGCTACAAGCATCCTGTCAGGGAAGTCGGCAACGGGGTCGGGCCTGGCTGTTTTTGAAAATCCCGATTCTCCGCGTTGCATGGTTTCCGCCCTTGCCTGGGGTTTGGAGACCCGCGCCCCAGACTAGCCAAGGTGGGGGGCGCTCGGCTTTTGGGGGCTCGGTTTTCATCACTGGCGGCCCGAGTCATTTTTGAAATAGTCTTCTCGATGTGCAAAAGCATTAGCACGCCCCTGGCTACCACAATGCGATTAACTATAAGCTCGCTTACAGTGGCATGGTGGTGCAGGTTTTGTCTCACGCAGAGCGAATTTCATCCTTGGCGAATGTCCAGATGCATCAAGACTTGTAGGCACATCTTGCTCCTCGCCAATCCTTCCTTCGCTCGGGCTAGCACGCCGCTGATCTTGCGGCTACAACGCATTGCTGCCTCTCCCGAGCTGCAAGAGGAGGTCGCGCGTGCAGCGAATGTGGCCAAGGCTGAGGCCACTCTTTCGGCGCGCCCCCTCCCTCTCGGGCCTCGCCTTGAGTTCGAGGGGGTGCAGCGGATCGTCCCTGTGCGTCCTTTCCCTGTGGCCCGATCGGGCTATGTGCGGGCGCGGGTCGGGGCCCGATGGCAGTGCACTCCGTGTCTCCGAGGCAGGCACTTTGCGGCAGAGCCGTCTCCTAGTGCGCGCGCTCACACCACTCGCGTGTGAATGTGGCTCGGCTTTCGGCCATCGTCGGTGCTGGGTTGTTGCTTGCGGTGATGATTCTTGTGTTTCGTTGTGCCAAGCGCACAAGAGTTACACTTCAGGTCAACGCCTCACCGACCCTGCGGTGCGTTGTTTTGGCCCTCCTGTCAACCAGCATGGCTTTCCCAGAACGGTCTTTGGGTTCGCTTGGTGAAAAAGTCGCCATCCGAAGCGGCCTCGGGTAACGATTTTGTCGAGTACGATGGCTGCGTTGCGCACGTGAATGTGTGCGACGGTCATCCGTACTCTTGGTATGACTTTCGCTGTCTTGGGTGCGAATGCTGGGCCAGCGCCCACGCTTGTTGCGCGTTTTCTGCCCCAGGCTCTCGTGCGAGGACGAATCTGGAGTGGGAGTATTTGGGGGGCCTCTTGGAAGCCTCTTGGGTGCATCTTGGGGCCTCCTGTGGCCTCCTGGGCGCCTCTTGGGGCCCTCTTGAAGCGCTCTTGGGAGCCTTGGGAGTGTTCTTGGGGCCATGTTGGAGGACATCGATCAAACAAGAGGGGAGCTTAAATTAGGGTCGCCCCCCTCCCCCAAGAGGCCAACATGGGGCCAATATCTTACCAAAACCATGATTTGGGCTTCGTCGCCGAGGCCGTCTTGGACGCCCTGACACCTCGCGACCGGCCCCGTCCAGGTCCAGGGGAGGCGGTAGGGGGAGGAGCAACCCCCTCCCCGAAGGGGAAGAGGGGCAGATGGAAGACAAAACACCCTAGACCACCTACGCCCTAAAGGGCTAGTGGGACTTCTCAGAAGGCGCGAGAGCTTCTGAGAAGTCCCGCCGCCTTCTCAGAAGGCCTTCTCGTTCTCATTCCCCCCCCCTCGCTCGCCGCCGAGCTAGGAGAGGAACGAGAACGAGGCTGGTCACTCCCGCGCGCCCGCGCCGCCCCCCTCCCCCGGGGCAGCGCAGGCGTGGCTCCGCGAGCTGGAGCGCGGAGTGCTGGGCTACCCCGAGGCTCCCCGGCGAGCGCGCGGTCGGGCTTCGGGCGCCTCGCGGTGCTGTGCCTTCGACGTGGGTGCCTTCTCCCTTTGGGGGGGCGGCGCGAGAGCGCGAAGTTATTCGCGCTTCGCGCTTCGCGGAGCGCGAAGCGCGAAGTTGGGAGCCCTAGATTGCACCGTCGATTCGTATTGCACCCACCAGAACCATTCCACGGACGCCGGACACGAATCGCGCTTCATCGAAACTCCCAGGGCCTTTTTCACGGTGGCCTCAGGGCTCGGGGGCCTCCGTGAAAATCACCACCCACCAAACCACCCCAACCCAACCCGAAGGCTCAGATTTACCCTCGATTTCCAGTGGGGGGGGGGTCGGGAAGCGTTGAAAAAACACGTGTGGAACCCTTCCCCCCCCCCCAACCCGAAATTCGGGTCTTCAGGTTGGGTTGGGGTGGTCTGGCAGGTAGTCATTTTAGGAGAACGGCAGAAGCAAAGCAACTCGGAGGTCCGACCGGATTTCTCGGATCGGCGCTGGACCGCCCGAGCGGCGCCTCCGGCGCCGCCCTTGGCACGCTCAGCGCGCCAGGGAGGGGGTCCAGCGCGGATCCCCGAACTCCGCGTGGACCTCTGAGGTTTTATGTTCAAGTCATTTTTGGTTTCCCTGACCTTGGCATTGCTCGGGCGTGTGCATGTTTCTCGGCGAGGACCATCGAGGGCAAGGACCATCGAACCATCGAGGAGCATCTTGGACCAGCTTGCGAAACAGACGCGCGAAGCAAAAGCATGCACCGGTGATGGACGTCCGAGCGATGGCGAGGTACGGGAGTTCAAGATCTGATCATTCAGGGTATCTTCTGAGCGGGGCAAGTCTGGGCCTCCCACATGGGGTCCGACTAAATGGGGTCGAAGTATCGCGCCGCACGACCGATACATCGGCGATGCGCTCGATGTGGAGCCCGACTTTCTATGCGCCGATGCCTCGACGATGTCGCGGATGCATCGGCGATGCATCGGCGATACGGCGCGGTTTTCCGACCCCATCTATTCCGACCCCCTTTGAGAGGTCTCCAAATCTGAATTTTCAGTGGTCTCTTGTGAGCGGGGTAAATGGCTTAGCGGGCTGGGGGGGAAGGGTGGAGAGCAAGCAGCACAGGCAGCAGTTGGAGCACGAGCAGCTGGAGCCGCAACCATTACCCCGCTGACCAGGGCCGAATCTATATACATATATATATATATACATTATATATATATAGATATGTATATGTCTTACGGAAAAGATGGTGACGAAGATCGGCGACAGTTTTTGCCAATTTCGAGCAGGATTCGTCGTCGAAGTTTCTGCGATCTCTCTCCATTAATGAGAAGGTTTCGCTTGCCCAATAGCGGCCGTTGCCGATCTTGGACAAAACATGTTGTTGGGTATCGTACTCGTTTCGGGCGTCCCGAGTAACTTGGGGGGGAAGCTCGGGGATATCGAGGGTCGCAGGAAAGGGGTCCCGAAGGCGCACGAGAGGCGCACCGTTCTTCCCCCGCCCGCTCATCTTGGCATCGCCCAGACCCGTTCATTTCTCTCGGCGAGGGCCATCCAGGAGCACCTTGGAGCATCACCTCGCGAGCAAGTCGACTCACGAAACAGAACATGCACGGGTACGGTAGGTTTGCGTCGTGTCGACCAGCGGCGACCCCAGCGCTGGCGTTCAAGGTTGAACGCCGTCGGCGACCCAGAATCGATCGATGTTGAACGATCGGACGTTGCGGCAGCGGCCGATCGTTCAAGGTTGAACGATCCCTGCGGTGTCAAAAACCAACGCCGGGGTCGTCACGACACGAACCCGCCGTAGTGGACGCCCGAGCGATGGCAAGTTGACCTCCTCGCCAGGACGCAGCGCCCGACGAGGCTCGAGGTCCTCGGACGGTTCGAGGTTCGAGGTCGTCGGACGGGCTCCCTCGAGGGCGCGAAGTTATTCGCGCTTCGCGCTTCGCGGTCCTCGTTCCTTCTCCCCCTCCTCCTCGTCCTCCTTTTCTCCCTTTGGGAGGGCGGCGCGAGAGCGCGAAGTTATTCGCGCTTCGCGCAGCGCGAAGCGCGAAGTTGGGAGCCCTAGGTCTCGTGGGTCTTCGCTTGCGGTCCAGCCGCGGGCCGGGCTCCGTGGCGCCCGACCGTCCCCATCCCGCCGTCACCGAAGCACCGGCGATGCGGCGCGATTTTTCCGACCTCAGTTTCGGCGGCAACGATAGGGTGGGATGAGCATGGGGGGGGAGGCATCGACCCCCAATCTCGGGCCGGGCGAAAGGGGGGGATTGGGAAAGGGGGGGTTACGAAATTTGCTGCATGCAGCTGGTTTCGGCCTCACCGAGGGGCCCGTTCCTCGATACATAGCCGCCTCCTCCGGCGCCGGGAGGCGCCGGGAAAATCAGCTACGTGAGCTGATTCTCAAACCCCCCCCTTTGCTATCCCCCCCTTTCGCCCGACCCGACAATCGCCCATTGATCGCCGATAGGGGCCCGATAGCCCCAACCTGCCCAGGAAGGTGCGGATTCACCAACGGAGGCCTATCGCCGACCTATCGGCGATGTATCGCCGATTCCAGGTCGATGCATCCCCCCCTATGCCAGTCCCTCCCTACCGTTGCCCCTCACACTTACAGCTGGCACGTGGGCTAAGAGCAGCGCCAGCTTTGGAGGGGTACCCTTGCAGTGGCTTTCGTTCGGGATCTCTTCGTGGGGCCTCGGTCCCTCGGAAGCGGGGCTCATGCTCTTGGTTCTCGTTGTCGTGGCCGTGCCTCGGCTGCACTCTGACTCCATCTGGGAAGGCCTGAGTCTTGCGTGCAGCCGCCCCGCAGAGATGCTGCTCAGGAAAAGACGGGGGGGGGTGTTCGGCAGGGGCGAGGACCTGCGGCGACGGCCGCGAGTTTGCTCGGCCGCGCTCTTCTGAGCTGCCTGTAGCCTGTCGGTTTCGGACGGCTCTGGCGTCGTCTTTGTCGGTTCGATCGGCCTTCTGTTTTGCTGTCGCCGTGTGTGCCCTTGCTCTGAGACGAAGGGGGGAGGGGGGGATGCATGATCGCTGATGTGACTCGGGGAAGAGGGGGGTGGTCGGCCCTGCAAGGCACATGACAGCCCTCGTAGCACCGGCACGGCCCGCCGGCGGGTAAGGTTTCGCGGATTATCATGGTTCTTCGTTGTTTGGTTACAATTTGTGGCCCGCGTCCCCGTTCCCTGTGCAATGCTGTGCTCTCAGTCACCGCGTGCAGGTTGGTATCAGCATTGTGTTGTTTCTCCCTGCGTCTGTGGTGTAGATGCATACGCACATATCCATCGATGCATACACGTATGAGGATGAATACACATACATTCATACATACATACATACGCACATACATACGTACATCAATCCATCCATACATACATGCATAATTTCATTACTTTACACATTCATGTATATATATATATAGAGAGAGATGCGTACAGATGTTTAGCCATATATGTCTATACGTGTATATGTCTATGCGTGTATGAGTGTGTACATTCCCTCCCTCTCTCTCTCTCTCTCCCTCTCTATCGTTGTTCCTCTTCCCTACCCATACATCGATGTATGCATCGAGTGGGAGAGAGTGGGCATCGGCAGCCAGCATGCACCTCTTCCTGCATGCACGCACGCATCCACCTACTTTGCCGGCCTTGTGCGCGGCCGAGCAAGCCGCACAGGCCTCGGAGTTCGGGTGCGGCGAGGCGCGCGGCTCGGGGACTCCTCCCCCGTCTGGCCTCGCTGGCCTGCTGGTCCTTGGCATCGCTCGGACGTGTGCATTTTTTCTCGGCGACGGCCATCGAGGACCATCCTTAATCATTTGGCGAAAAAAACACGCACGAAATCGAAAAATACACGAGGAATGGACGTCCGAGCGATGGAGAGGGTCATGTCGCCGAGTTTGCATGCCAGGAGCAAGGATCGAGGGGGCCTCAGGGGGGGGCGCATCGACTTGCAGGATAGACCCAGCCGAAGAGGAGGCGCCAGGAGGAACAGGCGGAGGCCCGCGCCAAACTGGATCGCCCAGGAAATGCGGCGCCCGCGGCGCGCGAACGCAGCAGACGAGCGGCCTAGGGCCAGGGGGTGCGCTGGCAAGGGGGTGCGGTAGCAAATCGTGGGAGTCTTCCACACTCCCGCAAATCCGTCGCTCGAGCGCACCAGTGTCGACCAGCGTTTGGTAATCGATGTGATAGCACCGAACTAGCGTCGAGTAGAGCAGATTTAGCGTCGACTGGCGTCGGTTCGCAAGAGCCGCAGACGGGGGGTGCATCCACCCCGAGTCGCCAGCTCATCGCCGACAGGGGCACGCTCGCCCAGCCCGCCCAGGAAAGTGCGGACTTGCCATCGGGGGCCATCGTCGATGTATCGTCGATTCCAGTTGGATGTAATCCCCTGTGCCAGTCCCCGCTCGTATCGTTAAGCCGGGCATGTTCCCACACGGGAAGGATTTCAAACATTAGCCAACAAATGGTCTGATCCGGCGAATCCGGCGAATCCATGAATTCCAAACCGGCGCCGTCGCGTGGGACATCCTCAGAAAAGCCGGCCTCCAGAGCCTCCCATACGAGGCTCGTAGAGGCCGTCCTTTTCAGGCAAGATCCGGAAAATCCGCCGAAATCGGGCGAATCTGGCGACGAATTCCAAATTGGCGCCCTCGCGTGGGACATCCTCAGAGAAACCGGCCCCCATAGCCCCCACAACGAGGCTCGCACAGGCCCAGCGCCCCCACAACGAGGCTCGCACAGGCCCTCCTGTTCCGTTTCAGGCGAGATCCGGGACATCCGGCAAAATCCAACGAATCCGCCGAATCTGGCGATGAATTCCACGCCGGCGCCCTCACGTGGGACATCCTCACCGGCCCCCAGAGCATCCGTACGTACGAGGCCCTCCTGTTCCGTTTCAGGCGAGATCCGAGAAATCCGGCGACTCCGGCGACGAATTCCAAACCGGCGCCTTCACGTGGGACATCCTCAGACAAAACCGGCCCTGGCAACCTCCCCAACGAGGCTCTCAGAGGCCCTCCTGATCCGTTTCAGGCGAGATCTGGCGACGAATTCCAAACTGGCGCTCTCGCGTGGGACATCCTCAGAAAATGCGGTTAACTATTTCAAGCCTGCGCCCTCGCGCGGGACATCCTAAGAAAATCTAGCCCCTGCAGCCCAAGGAGGCCCTCATGAGGCCCCTTGATCCGTTTCCGGCGAGATCGGGGGAATCCAGCGAATCCGGCGACGAATTCCTAACCATCATCCTCGCGTAATCCTCGAAAAAACTGGCCCCCATAGCCTCCCCAAGGAGGCGCAGAGGCCGCCTGTTCCGTTTCCGGCGAGATCGGGGGAATCCAGGGAATCCGGCGATGAATTCCAAACCGGCGCCCTCGCGTGGGACGTTTTCAGAAAAACCGGCCTTGGAGCCTCGCAGAGGCCCCCGTACGGTGTGTCGTTTCCGGCGAAATCGGGGAAATCCGGCGAATCCTTTTCTGACAAGACTTGGGAAATCTGGCGAGATCCGGGAAATTTGACGGGGAATTCCAAACCTGGGCCCTCGTGTTGGGTATCCTCAGGAAACCGTCCCCGGAGCCTCCCCAAGGTGGCGGTGAGAGGCCCCCTTGTTCCGTTTTTGGAGATATCGGGAAAATCCTTGGGGGAAGGAGAAGGACGAGAAAGAGGAGGAGAGGGGAGAAGAGGACAAGGTGGAGGAGGACGAGGAAAGTTGGAGGAGGCAGAGCAGGGAGAGGAAGAGGAGGAGGAGGGGGAGGGGTCCGTAGCCCCTGGAACTAGGGGTCAGGGCTCGAAGGGGCGCAGCGCCAGGTTGTTTTCTGCTCCTTCGACACAGCCCCGACGGTGGAGCAGTCCGCAAAGCTTCCCTCCCAGACGGCAGCGATGGGAGCGAAGGGTGCGTGTGGCAAGGACAAGTCGGCCAAGCGAGGCCGCGGGACTGGCGCTGGCAAGGGCGAAGACAAGCGCACCCAGCCCCAGTCATGGCCACCAGCACGTGCGTCCTACTCATGGACCTGCATGCAATGTGAGGCCCAAGTTCCTCTTCAGCATCAGTGGCGTTGGAGGTGCGGTGCGCACTGGGGAGCTGCAGCCCCGCAGCCGTCGTCTGCACCTTCAACAGGACCCGCTCCGAAGAAGGACTACATGACTGGGAAAGCACAGATCCAGAAACTCCAGAGCACCTACGACACGCTGCAGAGTGGAGTCGAAGCAAGAAGGTGTAGCCCAGGAGCCCACGATGGCGGCGATGGAGTCGATCGAGAGCGTTTTGGACAGACTGCGGTCAGACCGCGACAGCGAAAAGAGCGTCTCTCAGCGAGAAGCAGCTGGAGACGCAGTCCGAGCACGTGCAGAAGCAAACCCAGGCCCTCGAGGACTTGGATGTCAAGCGCGCGCCGATGGCCGCGTACCTCGAGACTGCGAAGGCCACGTTGCGTGAGTACGAGATGAAGGTGGAGGCGCTCAAATCTCCCCATGGTGGCGGGCGGGGGCCCGTACATGGGAGCACGTGGGCCCCCGCCGCCGACGCCAGCGGGCAAGGGCATGGCAGCCAGTGCCTTGGCCCAGCACGGCGGCAATGGACGCTTTGGGCGGATGGGCGCCCGCGCGTTTCTCAACGGCATGAGTTTCTTCGGCACGGGCCTGGACTCCGCCTTGATGCAGAGCCCGTGGAGCCCCACGCAGGAGTCCGCGACGCAGATGCGGCTGAGCGGGGCCGAGGTGGCGGAGGCAGCCAGGGCAGCCACCGAGGCCGAGCAGGCCCAGGCAGCACCTGGAGGCCGACGCGGGGGCGGCGCGCGCCCTTGGCCTGAACGGGGGCGCGGGCGGCGAGCCGCGCCGCCCACCTGGCCAGGCCGACGCCGCGACGCCGCCGGCGCCTTTGGCAGGCCGCAGGCCGGGCGAGGAGCTGGCGCGCACGGCTGGGAAGACGGCGCAGGGCGAGAGCGAGGCCGAGGCGGCAGCTGACGCCGGCGCCCGCGGGTCTGGCGGGCAACCCGAGCCAGGCGGCCCGGGCCGCGCAGGGGCTGCTGATTCTCGCCGTCGACGCCGACAGTTCGACGTCAGCGGCCGCCGCCATCGAGGGTAGTGAGGCCCGCGTTGTATTTGCCCAAAAACATAAACTACATTGCCAACGGTCGCTAGAAGCGAAAGAGTCGATGAGGAAGCTAGGCTGGTAATCCTTCTGGTCAGCATGCGAGGTCGCGCGCAAAGGCGGCGCGTCGGCTGGAGTGGCCATTTTCGCCCGAGCCCAGCTTGACGCCTGGCAGGGCCCAGTGCGCCCGCGAGATCTCCCCCCTCAGTGGCTGATCCAGATCTGTTTCAGGGGTCGAGCGCCGGGCATCATCTCGCCCTGATGCGGCCGCTACCACGACTCAGAGGGCCTCTCAGCAAAGAGTGCGCGCCCGGCGCAGACGCTGGCCCTGGTCGCCCCCGGCTGTTTGTTCAACGCGGGGGCGCCTGCCCGTTCATCGCAGCAGGTGGTTCCGATATCAATCCACAAGTGTCCATGGAAATTCTCGCCCCTCGCAAGCGGGGTGGCAAGTATGTAGTTCCCTCGCCGAGCTGAACGCGTAGAAGCGCCTCCCCAGCCAGACGCTACGAATACTCCGTCATGAGCAAGCCACTATTGACCGCAGCCAAGGCGGCGCACGCGGATATGAACTCTGACATTTTCCCATGGGCTTGTCGACCTTCAAGTGCTTGCGCATGCGATCCAGGTCCAGAGACAGGCGGCGCGCGAAGCCCCCTGTGGACCCCCCGCTAGGCCCAGCCCCGAAGGCGCCAGATTACGATGAGCTGGATGGGGCGCCTTGGAGCCCCACTACAGACTCTAGAGGCCCCTGGAGGATATCGGCCCCCAGTAGGCGATGCACCAGGCCTGTTCCAAGAGGAGCGGGGCGAGGTCTGCGCGAGATGGACCGAACAGGCTTGGGGGGAGTTGGAGGGCGCGCGTCAATGCCACCCGAGGGGAAGGAAGAAGGGCGGGTCGCCGCATGTGCTGCGCGTGGCTCCCCTGGGCGAGCTGCCCCGTGCCCGTCGGAGTCCCACGCGAAGTCCTTGCTGGGCCATCCATTGGTTCCCTTGTGGGCGCTGGGGAATGCGCGGGCTTCTTGCGAATGGAACTTGTCCAACTAAACTCGTGCATTGCGGGGGTCATGCGGAGGCCACCTGCAAGGCGACGGTCTCGGGAGGCATTTTCAGATGCCATCGCCCTGGTGGACGTGATGTTTGGATGGGTTTTCTGCAGGCGGCATTGGGTGTCTTTGGGTTGTGAGCCCCATCCCGATCATAGATGCGATTGCGAACAAATTCAAGACCCTCCAGGAGTTTGCCGTTTATCAGGCGCCTTTGGCCCCGCCGCGCGGGAAGGCAGAGAAGTCGGCCAAGCGGGGCGACTGGCGCGCGGAGGCCTTCGCTAGCGGAGCCAAGTTGGCGCGCTCATACGGGGGCGGCGACGGATGGGAAGCGCGATCTCCCCCCCATCGGATGACGGAGGCGCCCCCGCTTTCTGCGTCGCTAGACAGCTGGAGGAATAAGAGCTGGAGTGGGGGGCGGCATAAGGGTGAGAAGGCAACGACCGACAAGGGCCTTGCGTGGCCAGGTGATAAAGTTTACCCGAAGACACCTGCCCCCGAGGAGATCCTACATTTGAGCGGGTCTTTCAAGGGAGAAGCTACTGCCGCGGACGGATCTCACCCCGGGCATGGCCGCCTCCTGCGCGACGGGGCCCCCGCAGTCTTCAGCCAGGTCATGCGCCTGATGACGGCGCCACGTTTCTCCCCGTCTTGGGCGTCGAAGCCGATCTTGGCATTGTTTCGCAAGCTGGCGTCAGGTGGGCGGCCGATAAGGGGTCTGCCAGTCGACGGTCGGTCGGGATGACTTCGCGGCGGCATTCCAGGGGCAGTAAATTCTGGGGGCGCACGATCCAGGGCCAAAGGGTTTTCAGCATGAGACTGGGCACTGTTTGGAGGCAGCACGTTCGAGGAGACTTAGCAGCCAGTGAGAAGAATAACTTTTGGAGTCTACTTGCTGATCTGACACAGTGCCACGAGCATGTTCCAAGGCCGCAACTGGCACAGAGCGCGATCGAGCGGCACTCACCCAGAGCCGCCGTGCGCGCGCGCGGGCGGGAACGCACGCTGAATGTGGATGGGGTTATGTCTCGGGGAATTGATCCGTATCGTGGCATTGTAGCGGGGGGCAGCGCTGCAAAATTTGAGATCCAGGTGTTTTGCACACCCACCGCACATGCATGCGAGCGGGCGGGCTTCTAGCACGGAGTTGGCGATCCATTGAAAATGATTTTCACCTGAACGAACGGCGCGCGGACATGGCCCAGCGCATTATTAATTCGGCGACAGCGTTGGCGCTCTAGAAAGATCGTCTAGCCCTGCTGTTGAATGTGATCTTCGCCGCGACGAAGTATGGCATCACGGGCGCCAGCGAGCAGCTGGTCGCAGCAGCCAAGGCTACCCTGAGTCAGCGCGCTGGGGGGCACGATGTTTTTTGGTGAGTTTGGGGGCGGGCCGCGACCCCGGGAAGCGCCGAAAACAATGACATGCAAAACGCAAGCGACGCGAACGCCACATTGCCCAGAGAGCCCGACTTGCGGAGATCAAGAGTCTCCGAAAACCCATGCGCCCGAAAGCGAAGATTTGGTTCTGCGGGGTCAACGCCGCGTCGACATACGGGGAGGAGGTGGTGGGTTGGAATCTAAATCAGCTTCGACGTTTGCGCTCCCAGGCGGCCGGATCTCAGGCCTTGCGAGCTGCGGAGCAGACCGCAATTTGGCCTTTGCCCTGGAGCCGAGCACGGACCCGCTGCGCCGGGCGGGCGAAAGTTTAACACGGTGCGCCAAACAGTTTTGGTTGGCTTCGGACCCGAACCGGAAACCAGGGGACTGTCTCAGCTTTGAGGAGCTTTCCAGGGCGCTGAACGCTACGATTGAATTCCCGGCGAGCAAGCCCAAGGGTTCCTAGGGCCTTTTTCGAGGACCGATCGGGGACATGCAGCTATGGCTTCGCAAGGCGGCATGGTCGGTTCGGGGCCCAGTTCACTAATTATGAGAAATGGGCCACCGTGTGTTTTGACGGAGATCCTTTTCGTCCAGGCGTGTAGTTATTCCGTGAAGGACTTGGTAAGGAGTTCATGTCCAATAGCATGTAACAACATCTCGGACCCAGTGGGTATCCCAGTGATCTGTTGGGGCGGGGACTTTGGGTTGAATCGCTTAAGAGGATCTGGAACTGGAAGCGACAAGAAAATGTCTGGAGGATAACCCGGCATATTTCTACGAGGAGCTACGTGGCGGCCAGTCGCGTGCACAGGTCGCGGCATCCGGCGGGACCTCTGCCGAGGGGGGGGGCATCGACGGACCGCAGCGCCGAGCCTTCGAGCGCCCCCACGTCGCGGAGAAGCGATCAGAATTCATGCCCACGGAGTGGGCGCAGGCGGGATTGGAGGCAGGCGAAACCGATCCTTTTTTTTCAGCATGGCTACCGACCCCTGATCAAATCCCAGGGCCTCTCTGGGATGTCGAAGTGCATTACGTGGGCCCAGACGGGTCTGGGGAGTTGCGAAGATTCACTAATAACTATTCGTCTGTTCGGATGATTCGTGTTTGGGAGGGAATTATGAGCGGTGGTGTCGGCGGATGCGGAGGGAACTTGCCAGTGTGTTGTATGCGGACACGTTCCAGGTTTGTTGCCTCAGTCTGCGGTCTCTTGCGAATGCGACGGATTGCTTCAGTCCCTCCACCTTGACTCGAACCCCGATGATATCAACCCCGACTCCCTCTGCACGATTGACGTAGATTGGAAGGCCCGTTGTCTGTCCAGGACGCATGCGAGGCCGCATCAGGTCACAGCCCGCCGGCAGGTTTGGCGGTCCTTGTTGCCCCACGAGCTCCCGAACTGGAGGCCCCAGAAGGTGAAGAACCACGTGGTTGAACAGCTCAGCGGAGTGGTTCGGAGACATGTAAAAGGAAATGGCAAGGCCGACAAATTTGCCAAGGACGGTGCCAACCAGCACCCAGGAGCCCATGATGACATTCACAGGTACGAGGTGATATTGGACGGGTGGAGTGAGGTGGCTTTAGGCATGGCTTCGATTTTTGAGGACGCCCCGAGGGCCCAAGAGCTCTTCGGGAAAGCCGATAGAACGATTTTGGGTGTTTGGGAGCCCGCTTTGCCTCGCAGCAGCGTGCCCCACCGTGTGTTCTTGAACGGCTGCCGTTGGAGGTGCATCAGATGTGCCAAGTGCTTCGCTACCAAGCAGCCTAAAAGTATATGTGCGGCGCTGACCGAGGTTTTGTTCAAGATCAGGGACCTGGAAATATCGCCGCCCTATTCCGTGTATGTTTGCCGCGTGATAGAGACGGGCCTGCCAATCTTGATGCGAATGAGGTGTGGGGCCTACACCTCTGGGGAGCCCAAAGTGTTGGAAAGCCCCTGCAGGAAAGTCTTCGTGGCACAGCGAAGGCAGCTTCTCAGTGGCAGGTTGACCTGGCCAAGGGGCCAGCACGTCTCTTCCCCCTGGCCACTGGAGCACCCCGAGGAAGCGGGTGAGTGGTGCTATTGTTCCCCAGCCGTTTTCGAGCCCGGCTTGAAGGAGGTGATGGGGAAGCCACAGGGAAAGGAGCATGATGAGGAGGAGGAGGAGGAAGAGGAGGAGGGAGGAGGAGGAGGAGGAGGAGGCGGATATTGCCAGCATGGCAGCGGGGCGCTGCTCCCGCCCAATCCTCACCCTCCTGATTCTCATTCTCGTCATCCTCGCTCTCCCCGGCCTCCTTCTCTACATACTCGCCCTCCAGCTCCACGCTCGCCTGATCCTCGCCCGCGTGGCCCTCACTCTCCTGTTCCTCCCCCTTTGCGAGCCTCGCCCTCCTGATCTTGGCGCGCATCATCATTTTGATCATTTTCTTCACACCCAGAAGCGCACGCACCTTCTTCTATATACAGAAACTCCCGATCAACCGCAGACCGGCCGGCTGGTAATAGTCATCGCGCGGCAATGGCGCATGGTCTACGTGGGCCGCCAGGGAAGTCAGCAGGCGGCGGCGATTGATGGCGACGATGCCCGCCGATTCGGCGGAGGAACAACAGCAGGACAGCAGCAGTATCAGCGTTCGCCGCCGCCGGCGGAGCAGCTGCGGGCAACTTGTGCATCCATATCAGGTGCGTCCTGGGCGGTCCTGCAAATGGGCGCCGCAAGGCCGAGGCGCACTGGATGTATATATATATGTATATATATGTATATATATACATACATACATACATACATACATACATACATACATACATGCATGCATGCATACATACATACATACATGCATACAGACAGACAGACAGACAGACAGACAGACAGACAGACAGACAGACATGCATACATGCATACATGCATACATGCATACATACATCCATGCATCCATGCATGCATACATACATGCATACCTACCTACCTACCTACCTACCTACCTACCTACCTACCTACCTACCTACCTACCTACCTATATGCATACATACATACATACATACATACATACATACATACATACATCCATGCATGCATGCATGCATGCATGCATGCATACATACATACATACATACATACATACATACATACATACATACATACATACATACATACATACATACATGCATACATGCATACATACATACATACATACATACATACATACATACGTACAGACAGGCAGACAGACAGACAGACAGTCAGACACACAAGTTGAGCCTGTGCGGGCCCAGGGTTTCTGGCGAAGGGGGCCCAACAACTCCAAGCAGCAGTGGATCTGGACACAAGCCTTGCCCGCAGCAGCAGCAGGAGGAGGTTAAACAATGCACAGGAAGAGGAAGAGCAACGGCGAGCTCATGTTGAAGCATCAGGCAGAGGGGCTGAAGCGACAGGGGTGGCGAGTGGACTCTAGGTGCGGGTCTACGACGTGGCCCTGACTGCGGACGGGACGGTCTTGCAGACCTCATCTTGTTACCCATTGTCTTGCTCTTCCCTGTCCTTGGCAGATAGTCCGTTTCGGCTGCGAGCCCAGGGGGGTAGCGAGAGGAGGCGGGTTCCCCATAGGGTTCGGAAGGCCTCCAGCCTGTTGAGAGATTGCGCGAGCCTTCCCAAGAGATCACAGAACACCCATCGGAAGCTCAGGGAGGTTCTGAGAAGCCCCGACGCCCTCCGAGAAGGGTTTTTCCCGCTCGCGTTCCCCCCGTGCGTGCCGCCGACCGCCATTCCGCCTCATCCTTCAACGCGTGCTCTTGCGGCCCCTTTGCCTCTTCCTCCTCCTCAGCCTCATCCTCATCCTCCTCCTCCTCCTCCTCCTCCTCCTCCTCCTCCTCCTCCTCCTCCTCCTCCTCCTCCTACCCTCCTCCTCCTCCTCCTCCTCCTCCTCCTCCTCCTCCTCCTCCTCCTCCTCCTCTCCTATTCCTCCTCCTCCTCCTTTTCCTCCCCCTCCTCCTCCTCCCTCCTCCCTCCTCCTTCTCCTCCTTCTCCTCCTCCTCCTCCTCTCCTCCTCCTCCTTTCCTCCTCTCTTCCTCCTCTTCCTCCTCCTTTTCCTCCTTTTCCTTCTTGTCCTGCTCCTCCTGTTCCTCCTCCTCCTCCTCCTGCTCCTCCTCCTCTACCCTCCTCCTCCTCCTCCCTCCTCCTCCTCCTCCTTCCTCCTCCTCCTCCTCCTCCTCCTCATCCTCCTCCTCCTCTCATCCTCATCCTCAATCATCCCCTCCTCCTCCTCTCTTCCTCCTCCTCAGCCTCCTTCTCCTCCTCTTCCACCTCCTCCTCATCCTTCTCCTCCTGTTCCCCCTCATCCTTCTCGTCCTCTCTCCTCCTCCTCCTCCTCCTCCTCCTCTCCTCCTCCTCCTGCTCCTCTCCCCCCTCCCTCCTCGTCCACCTCCTCCGCCTCCTCGTCCTCCTTCTCCTCCTCCTCCTCCTCCTCCTCCTCCTCCTCCTCCTCCTCCCTCCTCCCCTCCTCCCTCCCTCCCTCCCTCCCTCCCTCCCTCCCTCCCTCCCTCCCTCCCTCCCTCCCTCCCTCCCCCTCCTCCTTCTCCTCCGCCTCCTTCTCCTGGAGGAGTGCAGGAGGCTCAGGCAGACGGGGGAGGGGGGGGAGCGCAGGAGGAGGCAGGGAGCAGAGGGGGAGTGAACAGATGGGAGACAGGGATACCGCGCAGCAGGAGGGGAGGAGGAGGAGGAGGAGGAGGAGGAGGAGGAATAGGATGCGGAGGAGGAGGCGGAGGAGGAGGAGACGGGAGAGCGAGGGGTGGAGGAGGGAGGGAGGGCGGGAGGATGAAAGAGGGGTCAAGGGATACACGTGTGTATATACATATATACACATACATGTACATGTACTACGCATATGGTGGCCCTGGACCCAACACGGCTAATTCTTGCAATCCTGGTGGTGCAATCCATGTGGTGCATTTTAGGCGGTGCTATCCATGTAGTGCAAGCGATTTTGTGCAAAGTCAATTTGCTCGACTTGAAATTGACAGTTCCATTGCTCGCGCAACCATCCCACTCACCTGCACACAACTTCGTTGACAGAACCCATTCGGCGGCGATTGCGGTGACTGTTTGGCGCTGGTTGGCGCATCGTTGCGGCCGCGCTAGTGCGCGCACGCTCGTTCGCAGCGCGGCCAGCTAGTCTTGCGCGACCGTTGCGGCCTCGATGGCGCTGACCGCTGGGTACTTCCCAGCTTGTCTCGCAGGCCGCGCTGACGCGCGGGCGGTTCGGTGCGAGTCGGCGTCTCGGGCGGGCGCGGTATCATGGCGACGCCGAGAATGGTTAGCACGATGATGATAGTAACGATGCTGGTTATGATATTGACAATGACGAAATGACGACGGCATGGCGAATGACGGCGCCGATGTTGAACACGCCGCACGCCGGTGACGATGACGTGTCCACGTGTCCGTGGGGAAAGGTGTGAAAAAGATGTTGGCATGCGCGCGCGGGCGACAGGCGCGAGTGGCCCTTACGGCATCGTTTGACAGGGGCCGTACCTTTCAGCACGCGTACTAAGGTGCTCGAATTATTGAATCGCTTCGCTCATTCCGCTGGCCGTGGAGCGCTATGTGGGGCCTCTTGGGGCCGTCTTGGGGGCTTCTTGGGAGCGTCTTGGGGCTCCTTGGCGGCGCATTGGGCTCCCCTGGGGCCTCTTGGGGGGCTCTTGGGGGCCCCTTGGGGCGGGAGGGGGGGTAGTCGATTGCGGCCCCTCGTTTGACAGGGGCCGTACCTTTCAGCACGCGTACTAAGGTGCTCGAATTATTTAGACATGCCCGCGCGAGAGGCCTGTTTGGCTGCAGTCGATGTGGCTGTTGTGATATGTATATATATATATATATACACATATATATATATATATATCAGAGTGAGGGGGCCGAACGGTCACTCACTGTCCCTGGGTGCGTGGCTGAAGTGGGATTCCGCGGTGCAGATTCTCGTTGTTGTTTGTTGTTGTTTGTTGTTGTTTGTTGTTGTTTGTTGTTGTTTGTTGTCGTCGTCCCAACCGCAACCCGCCCCGCGACCCACCCGCGACCCACCCCGCGACCCACCCCGCGACCCACCCGCGACCCACCCGCGACCCACCCCGCGACCTACCCGCGACCCACCCCGCGACCCACCCCGCGATCCACCCGCGACCCGCCCGCGACCCACCCGCGACCTACCCCGCGACCCACCCCACGACCCACCCCACGACCCACCCGCGACCCACCCGCGACCTACCCGCGACCTACCCGCGACCCACCCGCGACCCACCCCGCGACCCACCCGCGACCCACCTTCGACCCAAACCACATTCAAGGTACAAACAAACATTTTCGGCGCCTGCGGCTGGCTTTTTTTGCATTCCTTGGAGGTGGAGAGCCCGCGACCCACTCCGCGACCAACTCGCGACCAACCCGCGACCCAAACCACGATCAGCATACAAACCATATTTTTCGGCGCCTGCGGCGGGCATCTTTTGCATTCGTTCCAGGTGGAGAGCCCGCGGCCCACCCGCGACCACGGTTTTCAGGGTACAAACCATATTTTTCGGCGCCTGCGGCGGGCATCTTTTGCATTCCTTCCCGGAGGAGAACCCACGGCCCACCCGCGACCCAAACCACGTTCAGTGTACAGACCAATTTTTTCGGCGCCTGCGGCGGGCTGCTTTTGCATTCCTTCCAAGTGGAGGTGGAGAGCCCGCGACCCACCTGCGACCCAAATCACGTTCACTGAGCAAACCAAGGCCGCACAAGCGCGGCGGCGGATTTTAGCATGCTGTCTGAGCCCGCAACGACCTCTTCAAGCCCCGCGCATCCACGCCAGCCCGTCCAGCAATTTTGCCCTGGCCAGTTGCCTTGATCAGAGAAGTCGGGGAGCATAAAATGGAAAAAAGGATTGCGTTGCCGTTATCTTGGGAAAGGAGGGGGGGCAGGAGGAGTAAACAGGGGACGAGGAGGACGCGGAAGAAGAGAGGATGTAAGGAGAATGTAGAGAAAGAGGAGGAGCAGGAGGACGAGGAGGGGGAGGAGGAGGAGGGGAGGAGGAGAACGAGAAGAAGGAGGGGGAGGAGGGGGAGGAGGATGATGATGGACGACAATGGGAGGACGATGATGGAGGCCGATGAGGCGGAGGACGACAATGGGAGGACGATGATGGAAGGACGAGGGGGGGAGAGGGAGAACGAGGAAGAAGAGGAGGAGGAGGAGGAGGACGAGGTGGAGGAGGAGGACGATGACGATGACGATGACGATGAGGACGAGGACGAGGACGAGGAGGAGGAGGAGGAGGAGAAGGAGGAGGAGGAAGAGGAGGAAGAGAGCGCCATCGACAAGGAAGGCGGGGGCCACGAGGTCCGCTGGCTCTACGACGCCCGCGTCGCCCGCGCCAGCCCCCTCGCTCTTATCCGCAATTGCGGGGTGCTACGTATATGTGTGTAGATGTGTATGTCTCTCTCCCTATGTATATATATATATATATATATAGATATGTGTATATATACATATATATATATATATGTAAATATGTATGTGTGTGTGTATCGGAGTAGGCCGGGGGGAGGGTGTGCCTGTTCCCCCCATGGGTGCCCGCCCAGGTTTATTGGGGTTGTCAGAGCTCCGGAGGCGGCCCGGGCCCGTACCGAGACAGGCCACGAAGGGCTAAGGGGGTCCCGAGAGGGCCCAAGACGGTCCCAAGAGGCCCCGAAGATGCCCAAGATGCCCTGAAGACAGCCGACGAGGATTCCAACACGCTCCAGGACAGACTCAAGAGGCTCTCCAAGAGGGCCCTGGGAGGCAACATTCACTCATGCTCCAATGATTTTTGAAGGATTTTGTCGTTCTCGCTTTTCCTGCTTTCCAGCGCTCCCTCACGGCCTCAGAGGCACGTCAGATCGCTCCAAGACGACCCACGAGGCCCCGAAGAGGGCCCAGAGGCGGCCCAGGAGGCTCCCCAGACAACCCAAGTGTGCCCCAAGAGAGCCCCAAGAGGGCGCCCAGAGGGGTCCCGAGGCGGCCCGGGCCCGCTCTGGAACAGGCCACGAAGGGCTAAGGGAGTCCCGAGAGGGCCCAAGACGGTCCCAAGAGGCCCCGAAGACGCCCAAGATGCCCTGAAGACAGCCGACGAGGATTCCAACACGCTCCAGGACAGACTCAAGAGGCTCTCCAAGAGGGCCCTGGGAGGCAACATTCACTCATGTTCCAATGATTTTTGAAGGATTTGGTCGTTCTCGCTTTTCCCGCTTCCCAGCGCTTCCTCACGGCCTCGGAGGCACTTCAGATCGCTCCAAGACGGCCCACGAGGCCCCGAAGAGGGCCCAGAGACGGCCCAGGAGGCTCCCCAGACAACCCAAGTGTGCCCCAAGAGCGCCCCAAGAGGGCGCCCAGAGGGGTCCCGAGGCGGCCCGGGCCCGCTCTGGAACAGGCCACGAAGGGCTAAGGGAGTCCCGAGAGGGCCCAAGACGGTCCCAAGAGGCCCCGAAGACGCCCAAGATGCTCTCAAGACGGCTGACGAGGTCCAACACGCTCGAGGACAGACTCAAGAAGCTCCCCAAAAGGGCGTTGGGAGACCGAAATCATTTAATATGTTCAAAGGGTTTTTTGAAGGATTTTTGCGTTCTCACTTTTCCCGCTTCCCAGCGCTTCCTCACGGCCTCGGAGGCACTTCAGATCGCTCCAAGACGGCCCACGAGGCCCCGAAGAGGGCCCCAAGACGGCCCAGGAGGCTCCCGAGACAACCCAAGCGTGCCCCAAGAGCTCCCCAAGAGGGGGCCCAGAGGGGGACCGCCAACCGATATTTCGAGGTCTCTGGCCCTAGAGGCCCCCCAGTAATTAGGCCCCCCGGAGGCCACCAAGAGGCTCCCACGAAGCCCCGTGAGGCGCCCAAGAGGCCCCCATGAAGCCCCCAAGAGACCCCGAAGGGGCTCCCAGGGAACGCCCAAGAGGCCCCCCAACACACCCCAAGAAATCATGTCCCCAGAGAGCCTTCTCTGGGGATCCCAGGGAACGCCCAGGCCCCCCAACACACCCCAACAAATGATGTCCCCAGAAAGCCTTCTGGAGACATGGCTCATCATGGGCCCGAGAGTCTCCAGAGGCTCCGAAGTACCATCACGCTGGGAAGTTGATTGGGAATCTGACTGATCGCTGTCTCGCGGACCCCCGCAGATCGTTTCACACAAAGTTGCTCCAAATGCCCTCTTGAACCGACGACGACGTTTTCGCCGACAACGAAGACGACGAAACGACGACGACGACGACGACGACGACGACGACGACGACGACGACGACGGCACGCCCCAACAGGCTTCCCAAGACGCCCCCAAAACCCATGTTCCCAGAAGCCCTTCTGGGAACTCGATTCATCCAGCCTCCGACCACCTACGCAACCATTTTCCCCGAAAGCCTTCCGGAATGCGGATTGACATGCGTGAATTGTGGTCCTTTACTTCAGTGGAGCAGTGAACTCGTCAAGGCCTCGGGCCTACTAGAACCTGAACGCGCGCGCGATGCTAGTGTGTGTAGAATATATATATATATATATATATATATATATATATATGAGTGAGGGGTCCAAACGGTCAGTCGCTGTCCCTGGGCGCGTGGCTGAAGTGAGGTGGTCCGTCTGACGCCTTCGGAGTCCGTCTTGAGGGCCTCTGGGCCGTCTAGTGCACTCTTGCAGCGCTTTAGTGCCGCCTCTGGGCCCCCTTGAGAGCCTCTTGGGCGATCTAGGGGTCCGCTTTGGCCGACGTAGGGCCCTCTTGGGGGCCTCGCAGGCCGCATGGGAGATATCGTGAGGGCCTTTTGGGCCGTCTTGGGCGATCGGACACCCAAGCAGGCGAGAACCTCAAAAACCTCAAAACAACAAAAACGCTTGTAAACCGTTGTCGTCCAGGGGCGTCTTGGTGAGCGTCATGGGGGCCTCTTAGGGGTTGCCTGAGGCCCATTTGGTGCCGCTTGGGCCGTCTTAGAGTGGTCTTAGCCCGTCTGGCGCCCACGGATGCCGTCTTTGGGGGGCTTCTTTGGGCCGTTTTGGATCATGATTTGAATGTTTTAGGGCCGCCTTGGGGCCCTCTTGAGGACCTCTTGGGCGGTCTTGGGGCCCCTTTGGGCCGACACGCAATGTAAAGTGTAAAGCAAGTGACTGAAAGTCAATGCAAAGCAATGCAGAGCAACGCGCAGCAACGCAACGCAACGCAATGCACTGCAATGCAGTCCAACTCAATGCAATAGCATGCAAATCCATGCAAATCCATGCAAATCAGTGCACACCGCTGCAACACAATGCAGCGTGATGCAAAGCAGCGCAGCGTAATGCAAAACAGTGCGATTCCAATGCGATTGCAATGCCACGCAACGCGATTACAGCGCAGCGCAGTGCGATTGCAATGCCACGGGAGGGGAAGCAACGGGGCGGCGGCGTCGGGCGGGAGCGAGGCCGCAAACAGGGCTGCTTATCCCCCATCCTCTACCCCCTCCCCCTCCTCGTCCTCCTCGTTCCTCCCCTCTCCCTCCCCCTCCTCCTTCTCCTCCTCCTCCTCCTCAAACCTCCTCCTCCTCCTCCTCCCCACCCCCTCCCCGTTTCCTCGCCCTTCCCGTTTTTTTTTTCTAATCGAGTGCAACCGATTGGATTGCATCGATTCGATTGCAACGGGGGGGTGCAACGGGGCGGCGGCGTCGGGGCCGCGGCCGGGCGGCGACGGCGACCACAAGGCGGCGGATCCGATCGCGGAGCCCAGACGACGGGCTGCGACGAGGCGGCGACGGGGCGGAAACGGCTACCCCGTCGCCGCCTTGGAGGACAAGAGGGGTGGGGGGCCCGCTTCGAGCCCCCCCTGGAGAAGGGGGGGGCCCAATCGGTAGGGGTGCCGACGTCCTGGGGGGGGGGGGGGGGCAGGTTCCCAGGCCATACCCAAGGCTCCACGTGTTCGAATGTTGTTTTGCAAGGCGAACGTCCACGAAAAGCGCTCTCTCTATGCGAAGGGAAAGAGAAGTGTCTGCCAGGCCCCACTTGCACACCGATGGCCTTGAAGGGTCATCCTTCTTGCCTCTGCCCTCGCCCGTTTGCTCCCCCCCTCCACGTCCCCCTTCCCGTCCCAGCCCCAATTGTCCTCTCCTCTCCTCCTCCGTCCCTCAACTCACTCTCCCCTCTTTCCCCTGCCCCTTCGCCCCGCCCACCTTCTCGCAGGCATCATGTAAGCTTCTTTCGAGTTTGTGAGGCGGGTTGCACCGTGGTTCCCGTCCTCACAAGGCGCCGTCGGGAAGCTCAGAATCCATTCGGCCCTCCTCCTCCCTCCCACTCCCCCCTCCATCCATCCATCCCGCTTTTCCATCCATCCGTCCCTCCCTCCCTCGCCCTCGTTCCCCTCGCCCCCCTCATCAATCCATCCGTCCATCGCCTCCCATCTCTCCGTCCCTTCCTCCACCTCGCTCCTCAACCCCGCCATCCCTCCCTCCCCCTCGCCTCCCTCCCTCCCCTTCCCCCTCCTCCCCGTCCCCCCCTCCCCCTCTCGCGCCCCTCCCTCCCTCTCGCTCCCCCCTCTGTGGAGGGCGGCTGCCCGATGCGCGCGCACCCGCGCAGGTCGCGGCCGTCCTGCGGCACAGCCGGGCGCAGCCGTGGGAGCCCCGCGCCCAGGAGGAGCCGAGCCCGCACGCGCACCTCGCCAAGTACACCGGGTGCCTTCCTCCTCCTCCTCCTCCTCCTCCTCCTCCTCCTCCTCCTCCTCCTCCTCCTCCTCCTCCTCCTCCTCCTCCTCCTCCTCCTCCTCCTCCCTCCTCCTCCTCCTCCTCCTCCTCCTCCTCCTCCTCCTCCTCCTCCTCCTCCTCCTCCTCCTCCTCCTCCTCCTCCCTCCTCCTCCTCCCTCCTTCTCTTTTTCCGGCCTCACGGAGGCCGAGGCCTGCGCCATGGGCGGGGTCAGGGAGGCGGAGCTTTGACAACCCCGACCTCTTCCCCGCGTAAACCCCTGCCTTCTCGCTTGCAGGTCGAATTCGGTCGAACCTCTTCTCGGTCGTCGGCGTCTTTCCCGCCCGCCGCCCTCCCAGGTGTGGAAGGTCCGTGCGGGCTTGCGAGTTCCAGCTCAAGAGAGCGCGCGAGGCCACGAGTTACGTGGCCTGGGCGGCGGAGCGGGTCCTCCGCCTCGCGCATGGCGGTTCGATCCAGGTGCCCGACGTGTTGCCAAAGGTCAAGGATGCGTCGGCGCTGGAGGCGGTCAGCCTCAGATCGCTGTGTCATGGAGCTTGCCGACGGGGTCATCAAGTACGAGAAGTACTGCAGTTTCGCCAAGACGAGCTTGTCTCTGAAGGTGCTCTTGGCCTCCCCGTGACAGCCGCCGACCATCAGCGCGAGGCACGTCGTGGAGACAAGGGGGCTTTCGCAGCCTGGTGCGGAGTCTGCGGGGCCTCCTCGACGGAGTCGAACCGCCTGTCGCCCAATCTCCACGATCCTTGCCACGGCAAGGCGGTCAAGGCCAGGGCGCGGTGGAACGAATTGGACGCCATCACGTGCCTTCGACGTGGAGCTCACCCACTCACCAAGGTGAAGTTGGAGGTGTGGCGTCCGACCGTTGGCGCTCGGGCTGTGTGCGTTGCGGGTTCCCTCTCCCCTCGTGGTGCAGACTGGGGCCAGCCGGCGACTTCGCGGGCCGCCAACTTCCGCATCGTGACCCTCCGGCCCTCCGGCCTCACTGTCGCGGCACTGGAGGGCGTCCTCGCGGCCAGGCGGGCTGCCTTGCCCGTGCTGCGTCAGTCGAGGTTGGCACGTGGTGGAGGGGGGTTCCCCGCGAGCCCAGGAGGATCGGGCCGGGCGAAAGGGGGGGATTGGGAAAGGGAGGGGTACGAAATTTGCTGCATGCAGCTGATTTCGGCCCCGCCGAGGGGCCCATTCCTCGATACGTGGCCGCCTCCGGCGCCAGGAGGCGCCGGGAAAATTAGCTACATGAGCTGCTTCTCAAACCCCCTCTTTGCTATCTCCCCCTTTTCGCCCGACCCGAGAGGAACGCTGGTCCTGCCGGCGCTCCCACTGGCGGCAGGGGCCCAGGACCCGAGGGTCCCGGGGCCGCCCACGCACCTTCTCGTTCGGGTGCTCTCCCGCCGGTCTCTCCGCGGGCGCCGTTGGGAGCGTGCCGCGGTTCGCCGGCGGAGCAGCGGCGAGAGGCGGCGCGCGGTATTCTGCGGCATCGGTGTGCAGGGCCGGACCTCGCCGTCTTGCTGGACTTCGGCTGTGCCTTGTCTCTCGTTGTGACAGGGAGGTACAGGAAGCCAGGTAGAGCAGAACGACTACAAAACGAAAATAGCGTTTGGTCCAGCCCTGTCGCCATGGAAGAAGGCATCCGCAGCTCTAGTCTCAGGAGCTACAGGCTTCGGCTCGAACAGACCCTCGAAATAGGAAGGCAGCTCTCCGACCTCGTGGTGGTTGGCCAGTTCTGCAGGGGGCGCTCGGTCTGTGGCTCGACGGGCCGAAGGTGGCATCAGCTTTCCCCCCGGCCCTTCGCAAGGTGTGCACGAACCCCCCCAGTCTCCCAAGCGCAGGCGTGGGCAGTGCCCGTGTAATGTCGATGCGCCAGCTTTCTCGCGGCCTCGGGAGGCCTAGTGCACCGCGCCCTAACGCAGAGGGGCGATAGTCTTGAGTCGGGTCTGCCCCTCTACAGGAGGAATATTCAAAAATACTCAAACATAGTCTGGGGACGATGTTCCTGATATTTTCCACGATGGTTGAGTATGTGTTGTCTATGTTTCATGTCCCCTCCAGTATCTGCCTGTAGGAGGGACATGCCCGACCTAAGGATAGTCTCGAATGCTTCTAGATGATACCTCAGCACATGACCGAGGTGGACCCTCACACCTTGCCGGAGTCTTGGATGTGCAGCCACCCGCGCGAGGAGCCGGATTTGAGGCTTCTCGGCGTGAGCTCAGTTCGGGAGCCCCTCATTTTGCACGGCGACGCCAAGAGAGGTTTCGACACTCACGGCCCGAGGCTGAGGAGAGTCAGGGTGGCCATCGCTGCTGTCAGTCTTGATCCTGCCCCTACCTTCGCTTGTTGTACGGTTGGCTCCCGGGGCTGCATCAGACAGTGTCCCGAGTCTCGAGGAGAATTTTTCTGCCTCGTCACGGGGGTTCGTTGTTGGAGCGGGTTCCATGTTTCGTCACTGACAACGGCGACGTGTGCCGTGGTTTTTGGGCCCAGAAGTTTCAGGCCCCATATGGACCCAGCGCCGATGTGTGGAGAATTCTTGGGGAGGTCATCCTGGAGACGAAGCGTCGCCCACGCGACACTGCTGTCCTCAAGGCCACATCTTACGTCGACAGTGAGGAAGTCGTCAGAAAAAGGCCTCCCTGGTCTCCTCATCGCGGGGAATGTGTTCGTGGATGTATTAGCAGGCCTGGCTGCCTGGCTGCCGCGTTATTCTGCACTCCCGAGGCTCAGCATAATTACCAGAGTCCTCAAGACGGAGGCGAAGGTCAAGTTCATTCGGGAACGCCTTTGGAGGGCAAGCTTCGAGGCTGTTCGTGCAGAATGGAAGAAGGTTCGGCGCCCTGCTGCTGCTGCTGCTGCTGCTGGTGCTGCTGTCGCTCCCGTCCCTTCTCCTCCATCTGCGGCTGAGGCTGTCTTTGGCACTCGCCACGCACAACAGCACTGTGGCAAGATATGTCAGATCTATCGGGATTCAGTTTCAGACGTTGAGAAAAAAGCGTTGGCTGGACGCCGATGGTTGCACCTTTGAACAATGGTGTGGAGATGCTATAAGATTAGCTTCGGGGAGGCGTTTACATCTCGCTGCGGGGTGGGCGCGCGAATCGCACCGCATGTAATACCACGAATGGCTCGCCTTTTGTTTTGCGGGTCTTGCGTTGGCCTCGCAGGGTCGCCCCACCCGGCTGACCAAGGCTTGACGTGAGCTCTTTTTGTTCTCGGCATCGCAAGAGGTTTACACGCCCGTCGTTGAAAGTAGGTATCTCTGGATTCCCAGATCCCAATCTACTTCAAGCGCCTTCCTACTTCAAGAATCGACACGCTTCTGCTGTGTTTTGTCATTCTCTGGGAGGGTCTGGACCCAATCCACTAGATCTGCCTGCCTACTTCATGTTTTTACCTGTTTCTTCCGACCGACGTGTACGGCCCAAAGTTCTCTGCAAGGCTGAGGCGGCGGCTCTTTCTTCGGGTAAGCACAACTCCATGATATTCGCTACCCGACTGTTCCAAACTCATCTCATCGCATCTCATCTCATCTCATCTGATCCCATCTAATATCATCATTACCTCCTCATTTTCCTCCTCCTTCATCCTCCTTCATCCTCCTCCTCCTCCGCCTCTCCCCCCGCAGATGTGTCCCGGGCCACCTTCCCCCCCCCAGCCCCGAGGTGCGTCCCGCGAAGCCCACCTTCCCCGCCGCCTATCGCGCTCGAGGGTGGCTGCATGGTGCGGGTGTTTTAAGGCGCCGTTCCCCGCCCTCCGCGCCCGGGGAGGGGGGGAGGGAGGGGGCACGGAGGACCCGCGCGTCGGGCAGATGCTTGTTCTCAATCACGGCGTTCTCCTTTTCACTGCGGCCTCCAGGGGGGGCCGTTTCCGGGGCCCGGGGCCGTCTCGAATGGATTTGGGACGAGGCACTGTTCGTACGGGCCAGGGCCCTTGTCGGGAGGCAGCAGGAGGGAGGGTTGGCTTCGGTTCGGCCGTCCGCTCGAGCGATTGAGGCGTGTTCAGTTTTGTCCCACGAGACCTTCGTGCCTACAGTACCCCCACAGATAGAGACACCGACACACGCAAGGCTCCGGAGTCCATCAACACAAACGAAAGAATCGCCAGGCAGTTGGGAGCCATGAGAAGTGAGAGACAAACATGCCCCAGCGAAGCGCCCGAACAGCAGTGACGGTGAAGAAACGGGTCGACGAGGAGGAGGTCGGCCAGTGACAGAGGCGAGAGCACAGCAGTTTGCACGTGCAGGGAATCGTGTCCGTCCCGACGAAACGTGCAACCAGCATCAAGTCGAGAGCACGAGTCGTGAACACATGTTGAGGAAGTCTCGGGCGAAACCGCGGCCAGACTGGGCGATCTCGGGCTCCCCGTCCCATCTGCGGGGTCATGCTGCGTCTTGGTTCGCCAGTATCAGAGCCTTCCTAGCGTAACACGACTAGGGAATCACAGGCGATTGACGTTCGCTCCTTGCGCCAGAAGACCCGTTGGCCTGACGTCAAAGGGGGGACTGGCCAGAGCAGGAAGGTGATCCCAAGGGGATTAGAAGAAAGGGGGGAGGAGAAGGAGGAGAAGAGGGCAAGGAGGAGGGGAGGGGCACAGTCCAGCCACAGTCCACGAGTCTGCCCCCTTCCCTTTTGGGAGACGCGCCCCAGAGCCCTTCCTGAACATTCCTCCACCGAAAGTTACTTTCGATATGATCCGACCGGTACCTTCCTTATCGATTCTGATGGGACAGATCCGATTCGATTCTGACGTTCCGAAGATCCGATGGGGCCCGATAGTTGCGCGGCTCGGAGAAGGAAGCGCTGCATTGACACATGTCCGGAGCTCCGCGCGGATGTCTTGGATCTGCGCTGGCGCCCCTTGGCAGCGCCTCCAGCACCCCCCGGCGCGCTCCGCGCGGCAGGGAGCGGGTCCAGGAGCCGATCCAAGAGATTTGCGCATACATCCAAAAGTTTATATGTTCATGCTGCCTGTTCATCTTCTAATTCCGTTGTTGTGCATCGTGGCGCGAGCCGTCCGACTCGACTCCGCTCTCGTGCCGATGCGGCCCGATTCGACGCACGTACCCAGCCGATCCGCTTCCTGCCTGCTCTCCTGCCGAGGCAGGGGCCGCCCTGGCAAACGCCGGCTCAAACGCGGGCCGCCCTGGCAAACCTGGAGGCCTGGTCGGGGCCCCGCTGTCCCAGCTGGAGGGAGCGGGGGAGGCCATCGGCAGAAGAAGAAATGGCAGAAGCACAAGTCCAGGGAATTCCGCGCGGGCTTCTCGGATCGGCGCCGAGCCCCCTTGGTGGCGCCTCCGCCGCCGCCCCTGGCGCGCTCCGCGCGCCAGGGAGGAGGTTTCAGCGCAGATCCCAGAAAACCGCGCGGACCTCCCAAAGTTTATGCTCACGCAGTTTGTGGTTCCTCTGCAGGGAGGGGAGGGGGAGGAGGAGGAGGAGGAGGAGGAGGAGGAGGAGAGGAGGAGGAGGAGGAGGAGGAGGAGAGGAGGAGGAGGAGGAGGAGGAGGAGGAGGAGGAGGAGGAGGAGGAGGAGGAGGAGGAGGAGGAGGAGGAGGAGGAGGAGGAGGGGAGGAGGAGGGGGAGGGGGAGGGGGAGGAGGAGGAGGAGGAGGAGGAGGAGGAGGAGGAGGAGGAGGAGGAGGAGGAGGAGGAGGAGGAGGAGGAGGAGGAGGAGGAGGAGGAGGAGGCCGGGGGCCGCTCCAGCGAGGCGATATAGGCTCCGGGGGGACGCACCGACCCCCACGCGACCATTCCTCGCCGACAGGGGCCCGACGCCCTCACCCCGCGCAGGAACGTGCAGTTTGTGCATCGGGGGCCTACTGCCGATCTATCGGCGATATGTATATATACAAGTGGCACGTGTGTGCCCAGGCTCATACAACAAGCTGAAGGGGCGTTTGAAGCAGGAGTGACATGCAACAGCGAAGTCGCACTCGAGCGCAAGTGGGGTAGCCACACCTTGCGATGTGTGTACCAGGGCCCCCCAGGAAGCCTCAGGAGGCCCGACTTGGATACCAGAAGAGGCTCCAGGAGGCCCCAGGATTGTGAGTGTTGTGTGTGTGTGATGTGTGCTTTGTGTGGTGCGTGCTTTTTGCGTGTTGTCGGTGTTGTGTGTGTGTATGTTATGTTTGTCTAGCGTGTGATGTGTTGGGCGTGATTTGTGTCTCTGTGTGTGCATGTAGTTCTGAAGCCCCAGGAGGCCCCAGGAGGCCCCAGGCGGCCTCAGCAGGCCCAGGAGAACTCCAGGAGGCTCCGAGGCGGGGTCTGGGGTACCAGAAGGTCCAGAAAGCCCCAGGAGGCCCCAGGAGGTTCCAGGAGGCCCCCAGGAGGCTCCGAGGAGGGGTCTGGGGCTCGATTTTGGGAGGATGTCTCAGGCGAAACCGCCATTCTCTGAGAATCGGAGTCAAAATCATTGAAATTACCATGTGTTTTTGAAGGTTTTATGATAAAATGTTGGAAATCCTATGTGTTTTTGGACCCTGACGTCACGATCTGCGTGAGGGGTGCCACCGATTTTCAGAATTTCGAGGATGTCCCGAGCGAAACGGCCAGAAAAATCGCGAACGACGGACGCATTAATCGCCTCTGAGCTCTACTCCCTCGGAGAGGTGCGTATGAGAATATATATATATATATATATATATATATACATATACATATACATATACACGTTTATATATATATATATATATATATGTATAGACGCCCGCCCCACCAAGATCCACCTCAGCGCCTTCTTCGTCGACATCCTTTTTCGTCTTCCCTTGTGTCGACGATGCCTGCGCAGACGTAGACACAAGCGGAAGTGGATGATTCAGATGAGGATGAGGCGGAGGAGGAGCAGGAGGATGGGGAGAAGAAAGGGGAGAGCAGGAGGCTCCCAAACAACTCCCTTGGGAGGAGGCTCCCGCCTCAGAGGTCCCACACGAAACCAAACAGGAGAAGCTCCCGCCTGAGAGGTCCCCAAAAAAGCGCGAAGAGGAAGAGGCTCCAGCCTGAGAGGTCCCCAAATAGCGTGAGGAGGAAGAGGCTCCCGCCTAAGAGGTCCCCCCAAAACACGAAGAGGAAGAGGCTCACGCCTGAGAGGTCCCCAAAAAACGTGAGGAGGGGGAGGCTCCCGCCTGAGAGGTCTCAACAAAAACAATATCAAATGGAGGCTCCCACCTGAGAGGTCCCAAAGAAACCCAAAGACACCCAAGAGGAAGGCCTCTCATCCCTGCAACTGTCCCAAAACACCCAAAACAAGCCAAAGCGTCAGAGGAGTATGCCGCCCTTGCCAACAAGGCTGGGGCAGCGGTGCTGGTTCTCCTCTGAAGCGTTGGATGAGAGGCCTTCCTCTTGGGTTTCTTCGGGGTTCTTTGGAACCTCTCAGGCGGGAGCAATCATTGGACTTGTTTTTTTGGGGGACCTCTCGGGCGGGAGCCTCTTCCTCCTCACATGTTTTGGGACCTCTCAGGCAGGACCCTCATGGCCGTGGCGAAGACGAGGATGACGAAGATCATGGTGATGATGATGATGATGATGATGATGATGATGATGATGATGGTGATGATGATGACGATGGCGATGAATGATGATGATGATGATGCTGCTGATGATGATGATGATGATGATGGCGGAGAAGGCGAGGATGCATACGGTAATGTTGATGTTGTTGATGATGATGTTGATGCCGGTGGTGATGCTGGTTGTGTTGATGATGACGATGTTAATGTTGGTGATGATGATGATGACGATGTTGATGACGATGACGAAGACGATGATGATGATGCTGATGATGGTGATGATGATAATGATGATACTGGTGATGATGAGGATGATGATGACGATCATGCTGCTGATGATGACGATGTTGACGACGATGATGATGAGGATGATGATGATGATGATGTCGATGACGATGTTGATGATGCTGATGCTGATGCTGATGCTGATGCTGATGCTGATGATGATGATGATGATGGTGATGATGATGATGATGATGATGATGATGATGATGATGATGATGATGTGGAGGAGTTGGAGGATGAGGAGGAGGAGGAGGAGCAGCAGCAGGAGGAGGAGCAGGAGGAGCGAGAGGGAGGAGGAGGATGAGGAGGAGGAGCAGGAGGAGCAATGGGGAGGATAATGAACGAGGGGTATGAGCGAGGAGGAGCAGGAGGAGAGGGAGGAGCAGGAAGAGGATGCGAGCGAGAAGGAACGAGGATGAGGAGGAGGAGGAGGAGGAGCAGGAGGAGGAGGAGGACGAGGAGGAGCAGGAGGAGGAGGAGGACCAGGAGGAGGAGGCGGTGAAGGAGGAGGAACGAGGAGGAGGAGGAGGAGGAGGAGGAGGAGCGAGGAACTTTCCCCTGTGTTCGCCCTCCTCTTCCCCCCTGTGTGTAACTTCTCATTATCTATGTGTGCTTCCTCTGTATCGTTCTTCGGCACGCATCCACTGGGACACACTCGAGGGCTTTCTCTGGGTCGTGCTCGGGCACGTATCCACTGGGACTCACTCGTGGCGTCGCAACGTTATGCAAGGAATGCAGTGCCGAGGGGGGAGATTCGCCGCAGGCGGATGAGTCAGATATGTAGCACTACGGAGGTGGATCTTGGTAGGGTGGGCGAGCATATATATATATATATATGTGTGTATGTGTGTATGTATGTATGTATGTATGTATGTATGTATGTATGTATGTACGTACGTACGTACGTACGTACGTACGTACGTACGTATGTATGTATGTATGTATGTATGTATGTATGTATGTATGTATGTATGTATGTATGTATGTATGTATGTATGTATGTATGTATGTACGTGTGTACGTATACATATACAAATATATGTATACACACACATGTGTGTACGTGTGTATCGCCGGTTCCGGCTCCAAGTTTCCCCCACCTGAGCCTGCCCCCCCCGACCGTTACCCCTCAGGAGGGGCGATAGGCAAGGGCTCCCTCGAGGGCGCGAAGTTATTCGCGCTTCGCGCTTCGCGGTCCTCGTTCCTTCTCCCCCTCCTCCTCGTCCTCCTATTCTCCCTTTGGGGGGGCGGCGCGAGGGCGCGAAGTTATTCGCGCTTCGCGCTTCGCGCAGCGCGAAGCGCGAACTTAGGAGCCCTTGTTCTCGCTCCGCAGAGAACTGCCAAGGCTCTAGGAGGACGACGGCGTCGGACGACTGGTCGGCCGACCAACTGACCGACCACGCGCGGGCGCCGACGGCGCCGACGAGCGTCGTCCAGAGACGAGCAGAGGTCTCTGGAGGTCTTACGATCAGCCACGGCGGCGTCTTCGACGATGGCGGCGGCGGCAATGACGCCGCCGACGACGACGACCACGACGACTACGAACGATGACCACGACGACCGACGACGCTGGCGATGACCTCCGACCACCGAAGACGTCGACGGCGGACGACCGACCGACGACCCACGACCGACGCCCGACGCCCGACGACCGACGACCGACCGACGACGACGAGGACCGCCGAGGGGCGCGGCCCCGCCCAGGCGCCAGCAGCCGGGCCCCCCGGAGCCCGAGGCCTCCGAGCTTGGGCCGAGGCCTCGGCCTCCGCGTGGGCCGGCGGCGGCGCGCGGCCGCGCCGGCTCCGCGCGCAGCGTCGGCCTGGCGCCGGCCTTGCGCGTGGCAGTTCGTCGTCCCGCTGCTTGAGTGGCCCTCTGGCACGGGCCTGCGGGCGTCCGCCCGCGTAGCCCGAGGATGAGGGTGAGAGTGAGCATGATCGTGCTGGTGCTTGGCATCGCTCGGACGTGTGCAGTTTTTCCGTCGGCGAGGGCCATCGAGGAGCATCCTTGATCATTTGGCTAGAAAACCACGCACGAAACCGAAAAAAACACAGGGAATGGACGTCCGAGCGATGGCCAGGGTGGTGATGATGGTCATGGTGCTGATGACTGATGACAGTTCGGGCCCGCGGGCGTCCGCCCAGGGAGCCGGAGGAGGATGACGAGCATGGGGAAGATGGTGATGATGGTCGTGGCGGTGACGATGGCGCGGGCCCATGGGAGTCTCTCCACGTAGCCGGAGAATGAGGCTGACGAGGAAGATGGATGATGCCGAGCATCCAATTCGAAGCATGGTGAGGCCCAGGTCCTCACGGTCGTCCTCCAATTAGGTGTTCGTCTCGGAGACCTTCCTGGGGCGCAGCGAACGGATCTGCTCAAATCCAATCCGATGCTAGCTTGAGTCAAGTTCTCCTCAAGATCAACTAGTGGACGTTCGACGCAGCAGCAGCATATGATTGGAGCGAGTGGTTCCAGAAAGGTCACCAGAACGAGTATCGAACTCCCAGGTAGAGGGGTCGGCGCTGGAGGGGAAGATATAAACGCGGGGTGGAGAGTGAGGAAAAGGTCGGTCGGTGTAGGACTTCGAGTGGCTCAATCTGTTGAGCTCTGTCGGAGGGTGATAGCCGCAATTGCACAGGGCATGTTGAGCAGCATTGCAACGATCGGATCGAAGTAGAGGGGGGAAGTTGGGATGTGCTGATCATTTTTGAAATATTTCAGTTGGCACCTCTGTAGAGCATGTGCCCGAATAGTGACCAGAGCTTGACAGGCCCACGTGGCGGCGAGCCTGCGCCCAATATATCGATTGGCGCGCCTGGGCTTGATGTCATCTTAGGTTTTAGGCTTTAGCGTCTCGGACGCTCAGTCTAGCTCCAGTCACTCGGTATTCTCGATCACCTACTTCGCCGCCCCATGATCACCCACGGGAGCGGGAAGAGGCATTCGCCGCTATTGTACACGGCGTTCCTCGATCGGTGTGATTCTCTAACGCCGCTCTATGTCTCCTTGCCCTTCCGCCTCCTCCTCCTCCTCCTCCTTCTCCTCCTCCTCCTCCCCCTAAAAAAATAGAATAAACACATAAAACAAGTAAAACAAACTCCTCCTCCTCCTCATCCTCATCCTCCTCCTCCTCCTCCCCCTCCTCCCCCTCCTCCTCCTCCTCCTCCTCCTCCTCCCCCCCCTCGTCCAGGGCCCATCTGCTTTCGCTCAGGCTCGAGCAAGAGGAAGATGTCGACGACGGCACAGACCTTCAACGCCCCAAAACAAACAGCAGGCGTGTCCTTCAGGTTAAGTCTGGCACGTCCCTCTACAGCTGGAGTGCTCGACAATAGACAAAGCATAGTCTGGGGACAATGCTTCGACTATATTTGATAATGGTTGGCTATTGTTGTTGCTGTTTTGCCGCCCAAATCCGCCTGTAGGAGGACATGCCCGACCTAACCTTACTGTCGGGGCGCTCGATAAGGAATGTGCCCAACAAGCTTCAGACCCTGGAGGGCTCCTTATCTGCTGAGGGCGGTAGTGATACCCATGGTCGGTCCACGATTGGAGTTCCACTGGCTTCCAGACCTTGGATTCCTTAATTTCCCAATGGTTCCTTAGTCAGTGCCTCACCATAATGCGTCTGCGGCAGGGACCAGATTTCGGGCCACGGGACCGTCAAACGACGATCTGAGTTGCGCCTGGTCGTGACCACGAGCTCCCCCCCTTTTTGCGGGCGCCCCGAGCGATAGCGAATATCCGACGGCCGATCGACTTGATATCCTCGGCGGCGAGCGAGGGGGGGAAGCAAGAAGGAGAAGGCCTCTTCAGAAGGCAGCGGGACTGTTCTGAAGCCTGCGCGCCTAGGCTTAGGAAATTCTAGACGCTTCGCGTATCCCCACCAGCCCGTCCAGAAACGACGCCCAGGCGAGTAGAGGGTCGTCCTGAGGGGCTTTTCGGCGTCTTGGGCGCCTCGGGGGGGCCTCTGTGGGCCGTTCGGAATCCTCTTTGGGGCCTCCTGGGGGCCTCTTGGGGCCTCTTGGGGCCATCTTGGGGCCTCTGGGAGCACCTTGGGTGCCTCTGGGGGGTCTCTTGGGGCCTCTTGGGGGTCTCTTGGGGGCCTCCTGGGGGCCTCTTGGGGGGCCTCGTGGGGCCATCTTGGGGCCATCCTGCGGCCTCTTGGGGCATCCAGGGGGCCTCTTGCGGCCATCGTGGAGGAAATCGATCAAAGAAGGGGGGTTCCTAAATTTCAGCCCCCCCCTCAGAAGGCCAAAATGGGGCCGAAACCATAGTAAAATCAATGATTTTGGCTTCCTCGCCGAGGCCGTCTTGGGCGCTCCAACGCGCCGCGGAACCCCCTGTCCAGGTCAGTGGGGAGGGGGTAGGGGGAGGGGTAAACCCCTCCCCGAAGGGGAAGAAGGAGGGGTGGAAGAGGAAACTCCTTAAACCACCGACGCCCAGAGGGCTGGTGGGACTTCTTAGAAGGCCCGGGGACTTCTGAGCCTTCTGAGAGGGCCCTGTCCTCTTCATGTCCTCCCCCCCGAGTCAGATGCTCGTTTGGAGGATTTTCTTGTGGCCCCGCGGGCGGATCTGCTCGACTCCAGTTCGGGTTTGCCTCGACGCCTTAGCTCAACTCCAACTCGACTCAAGTTCGGCTCAAGTCCCACTCGTGTCGACGGACGTTCGACGCAGCATCGACGCATGATCGGAGCGAGTCGCTCCAGGAAGCCCCCCAGAACGAGCAGCTGACACTGTCCGGCACGAGGAGCATGGGTGAAGCCCAGTTCCACGACGAGACCGGGACGTTTTGGATGGTTTGTACATTCGCTGTTGATTCGGCAATTGACGTTTGTTTGCTTTGTTTTTTTCCCCATATCCAAAGATGGGGTTCTTGTTATTGGCGGACCGCGCCGGAAGGACACAGAACAGGACAGAACACCACACCCATCACTCAGACACACACGTAAGTTATTCCCCATATCCTAAGATGGGGTTCTTGATTCCCCATATCCAAAGATGGGGTTTTTGATTCCCCACTCACTCATCACTCAGACTCACTCATCAAGACTCACTCATCACTCAGACTCAGTCCTCACTCAGACACACCACTCATCACTCAGACTCACCACTCAGATTCACTCATCACTCAGACTCACTCATGCTCTCTCATCACTCAGACTCAGTCATCACTCAGACTCAGGCGATTCGCTCGTCTCAGCAATCTAAGGGGGGCGGCGGGGGGGTATTTCACGGGGTCCCGTTCGCGGAATTTTGTGGGGATGTCTCAGGCGGTTTGGCCATTTTCTGATCCAACATGTTTCGTTTTCGGAGCAGATTTGGAGGATGTCTCAGGCGATTCGCTCGTCTCAGCACTCTAAGGGGGGCGGCGGGGGGGTATTTCACGGGGTCCCGTTCGCGGAATTTTGTGGGGATGTCTCGGCGGTTTGCCTGTTTTCTGTGCCAACATCCTTCGCTTTCGGAGCAGATTTGGAGGATGTCTCGAGCGAGGCGCTCATTTTCACCCCCCAGGTGGGCCAGATTTTGAGGATGTCTCGATCGGTTTGCTTGTTTTGGTGGCCAGGCTCGTGGCCCTAAGGGGAGCCGCCAGGGGTGGTTGCACGGGCTCGTTCGCGGCCATTTTGTGGGGATGTCTCAGGCGGTTTGCTTGTTTCTGGGCCCAACATCCTTCGCTTTCGGAGCAGATTTGGAGGATGTCTCGAGCGAGGCGCTCATTTTCACCCCCCAGGTGGGCCAGATTTTGAGGATGTCTCGATCGGTTTGCTTGTTTTGGTGGCCAGGCTCGTGGGCGCAGATTCTTCTCAGGATGCCACAGGAGGCTCCAACAGGCTCCAGGAGGCCCCAGGAGACCACATGAGGTCCCAGGAGGCATCAGGAGGCCACAGAAAGATTCAAGAGGCCACAGGATGTCCCAAGAGGCTCCAGGAGGCCCCAGGAAGCTCCAGAAGGCCTCCGGAAACCACAGGTGGCCCCAGGAGGCAACAGGAAGTGCCAGGAGGCCTCGGAAGGCAACAGGAGGCCCCGAGAGGCCCCAGGAGCAGGAGGCCTCAGAAGGCAACAGGAGTGGCTCCAATCCCATGTGTTTTACGTATGCTCCTATCGATTGGGCCTCACCTGGAGCACGATTCTTTGATGTTCTACGTATGTTTCTATATATTGTCCTTCTCCTGTGTAAGCAATCCTACTTGTTTTACTTTTGTTCCTATATATTGGGCCTCTCCTGGGGCACGAGTCCTTGGTGTTTTACGTGTGTTCCTGTAGACCCATATACAATATTACCTTTAAAAAAGGATGCACATATGGGGAGCTCCACGCAGTGAGTAATTTGCTGCTTTTGTTGCGTATTTGGATTTTAATGCATACTGAGCTTGGGCCGATTCTTGTTTGTTGTTGGTACGTCGACCGTGCCCCCCGGACGGCCGAGTGTCGCACACCCACGCCCCGCACCCCTCGGCGTCCAGGCCCGGGAGGCCCGCCGCACGGGCAGGGAGGCGGCGCGCCGATCGCCGACCGCAGCTCCGCCCGGTCCTCGCCGCGAGGCCTCCGTCCAGGCGGCCCTCCTCCCCCTCCTCCTCCTCCTCCTCCTCCTCCTCCTCCTCCTCCTCCTCCTCCTCCTCCTCCTCCTCCTCCTCCTCCTCCTCCTCCTCCTCCTCCTCCTCCTCCCTCCTCCCCTCCTCCCTCCTCCTCCTCCCTCCTCCCTCCTCCCTCCTCCTCCTCGCCGCGAGGCCCAGAGCGCCAGATCTTGCAGGATCCTGCAGCGCCAGGGTCGCATTGACCCGGGTTTGGGCGCAGGATCCTGCAGGATCCTGCAGGATCCGTCGCATTGACCCGGGTTTGGGTGCAGGGTCTGGCAGGATTTTGCAGGATTCTGCAAGGCCTGGATTGACCCGGGTCTGGATTGACCCGGGTCAGAAGATCCCCGATCCGTCCAGGCGGCCCCCCCAGAGCCCGCTTCCGCAGGCGACTTCTCGCCCCCAGCCCAAACGACGCGAAGATCGGGGCAAAATCGGATCGGGATAACTCGAAATCTCCGAGAATCGGCGGGTTTGGAGGATGTATTGGGCGCCGCGGCCGCTCCAGAGCGTTCCGGACCGCTCTGAGAGCGCTCCGGAACGCTCTTGAGCGATTTATCCCGATCCTAGCCCTGTTTTACCAGCCCCCGACTTGGCCGCGAATCTAGGCCTCCTAGCTGGGGTCGGAGTAGATAGGGTCGGAGGATCGCGGTGCATCGCCGATGCATCGCCGATGCGGCTCGATGCGGATCCCGATGTTCTTCACGCGGACGTCGCCGACGCACCGCCGACGTCGCTGATGCATCGCCGGTGCATCGCCGATGCACGGCGGATGCATCGCCGATGCATCGCCGATGCGGCGCGATCCTCCAACCTTCTCTACTCCGACCCCATCTAGGAGCCCTTCTAACGAATTATCCTGGCGAAGGACCCAACCATATGCAGTTGTGAATGCCGCAATTGTGAATAGTTACCATCTCCGCCCGCGCTCCCTATGTGGCCACGGCTCCCCGCCGGAGCCCGACATGCTCAGGGACACGTTCGTGGCCGTCTTCGCGGGCGCCGACGACGACAAGGACGGCGTCCCTCTCACCGAGGAGCAGAAGCAGGAGAGGGGCCTTGAGAGCCATGAGGGAGGAGGTGGCGTTGCACGTCGACAAGGCGGAGTACGACGCCCAGGCGCGGTTGTTGAACCAACACAACTATGGAGCCACGATCCTCGTGAGGGATGTGCCGCAATGGCCCGGGGCCGCCATGCGAACCCTGCCACTGGCGCCTTCGGTGGAGCTCCAGTGGGGCCACGATCCTCGTGAGGGGTGTGCCGAAATGGCCCGAGGCCGCCATGCGAACCCTGCCACTGGGGCCTTCGGTGGAGCTCCCTATGGGGCC